AAAAAAAATAAATAAATAGAAGCAGTTATAATAAAATAGCTAAAAGATAATTTAATAAAAAGCTAAAGGTAAAAAATAGTATATATTTAGAAGTAAATTAAAAAAGATAGTCGTTAATAAGAGGACCTATATATAGATAAATTAATATAAAAAAAAAAATATAATAATTAGGTTAACTATAAAGGCAGCTAACACCTTTATTTTATTACTTAGTTAAATACCCTATAATAATATTCACCTACAAAAGCATCTCTTTTATAATAAAACAAAACTATTTAAATAACCTTCCGGTGCTCAGCTTTACAAAACCGCATATTATTATAAAATTATAGCAGTGCATTAGACTACACTCTGGAATTAAACAGCAGAAGGTGCCTTTATAAGCAGCGTTGCTTACATAATTTACACGGGATCCTGTGCAAGATTAAATATACAGGATCCCGCATACCTATTAGTCGCCCTCAAGGCTCCCGTCAGATGTTTATTGCAAGGCCATCACGTAACATCAACTATTCAACCTCAAGACAACTAAACAACCTCATTGCCTGATACACATGGTACTTGTCGTAACATATTGCTATAAGTTAGCCATAATTTAATCACGGCAATGTTGAGCATTCTCAAAGCCAATATACAGCCTCTTCCACTCCAAGAACTCTCCCTGGTTGATAAGCATGCCGTGTGGCATCTTTGCTTGGATTACGCCGTCGTTATTCTTCCACCCCTTATTGACAGGTGCTCGTAAGGACTTTTCTTTTGCTAAAGTCCACTTTTCCTAAACTAAATGGCAGTATGTGTCGACAAACATTAGCTACTCATTTTCGGCCCATCTTCATTTCATCACACGATATTCCATTCTCAATTAAGGCGCAGAGTGTAGCATATGAATAATAATAATGGGTTGGTCGAGTATCGTTTCTACATCTCACGTGCACATCCGGTTGTTTATGGCTCTTCGACATATGCACATGTACATGAAGCCATCCTCACTTTGCCTTGCACAATACGCAGTCGCATCAAAAGCCTAATACAAAGCTCGCGGCCGTTTACTCCTTTCCATTCTTCCTCTGCTGCCACCAGTGACATACCAATAGGCTGTACATATGCACGGAGCGAATACCCTGAACAGCATGTCCAGTCACAGCATTCAGACCCCACCACAACCATCAAAAGGGGTAAGCCCCCTCACAATCCATATTCCTCTACGGCTAGTCACTTGAGGTTCACGTGTGAATAGAGTTGAGGAAAGACAAGGGACAAATATCGCATGGTACAATATAAGACAGTAATTCGAAAGGGTATGTGCCGATGGCAATGTCTGAGAACCGCATGAGAAGTGAAAACGACATCAACAAGTGCTTGCAACTGGGTTCATTCCATACGTAGATAAGCCTAGAGATTCACAGCATGGCACAGATATAGCCGCACGTAAGCAATGCTGCAGAGCCAAACATGGCTGTCCAAAGGTGGTCATTGTGGCTGACCATGGTGAGACACCGACCAAGATGGAGCCAGTCAATCGGCAAACAGCACGCGACTAGATGGGGAAACTTCTAGTAAATACACGCCTGGGGGTTAATCAAGCCATCATAATGGTCGGCATCATGCATTCGTTTGGCCAAACGCAGGGGAAACAAGCTACGGGGGAAGCTTATGTTAAAAGGAGAATGAGACAGCTTGCAAAACATCAGAAGTTCTTGTGTGCAACAGTATTAGCATACAAGATATTGTCACAGTGAACTTTTCTACCATGCAGCAAAAAAAGGGGAATGGGGGATCGGAAAGATAAGAAACCCTCCCATTTTTCAATTTAGGTAACTAGAACATCAGCGCCAGCCATCCCGGCCGCTTCTGGGGGGGGATTCGTATATATATCAAGAATGAAGCACTCCGTCATTCCTATGTGAAGTCCCTACGCAGTGAGTTGGGAACAATCTTGGTGGTTCTCAACATGGCAAGTTTCATTTTGTGCGGGTAATGGTGGTACTAACAAAGTGTTCCTTTACATAGTTGTTAGTAAAGGCCGAATTTTGGTAAGACGTATAACGTCCCGAGGCTTTTAGTGAGACCAGTCGCGAACCAGCAAACGACGCACGCGCCGAGTTGGCAGAATTCCCCCGGGGAAATTAATCACCTTGATTGTAAAATGCCAGAAGCAGTTATTTGGCCTTGACTCTTTCATGCGAGGCGCAAGTGTACGTCTTAGAAATTACCCCCCCCCCCCCCCCTCCCCGGGAACTTGAAGTAACAAATAAATTAGCTGAATACATGATGGGATTCTTTGCGTAGAATAATTCGAGGGGTTCTTAATCAACTCTTCATTCATTTGCGGCAAGATTCTTTCAGTAAAGTTCTGTCATTCAGTCGAAAAAGTAAATGACCTTCTACCTCCCATAGTGTTTCCCCCGTAGCGTTGCATGCTGCTGATCAGCCATAAGCCTCATATGCCAGGGTAGCATTGCCTAGCGTGGCATCCAAGAGGCTGCTTCCGTGGGTTAACCAGTCCATATCGTCATGTAGTGGATGTGAGATTGCACGGTTTCATCTGTAGACAGAGATGGCCGTGTTAAAATGTTGTGCCCGCCAGGTATCTGACACAAGCCTCGTCAAAGTCAGGAGCTTAATCGATCATGAAGGGAGCACCATTAAGTAGATTGTCCCATATCTATTCCAATATTCTCGGTAGCGCTAAAATGATACCAGACTCCCAGACTGCATAGCTCCCCAGTATTGGCAGGTAGGTCAGGAAAACAAATCTGCCCAGCATTGGGTTTGCAACTAGGTAGTATCGAATCAAGACTACGGAGCCTTTGGATAGCTACCCCACTCAGCCATTGATCAGTTTCAATCGTCCAACTATCCAGAGAAATCGGGGCCATCAATAGCACATCACAGATTGCAGGCTAATCGTTACGAGTCGCTAAATACAGATCTTTGGGCAAGATGTAGCTACATGGGAAACGGGACGTGCTAAGTTAAGGAATTGAAGCCTCGGGACTTAATTACCCGGGACCACAGCAAAAGAAGCTACATCTAGTTTTGATATATTTGCACATAGGAACGGCAAGTGGACAGAGGACCAAAAATTTTACTCGAATGAGGTTTTCATGATGGCAAAAAGGAGTGCAAAACAGCGATGAGGAAAGCGGTGTGTGGATTTCAGTGTCCAAGCGCGAATATACAGCTATGTACAAAGAAACGTACAAAGATGTAAGTAAAGTCAGTATTTATCCGTGCCCCTATAGGCTAATGACACTCTGTTCAGCCTTCATAAAACTTACATGTAATCATCAGTCTATTTCGGGGTGGGTCCATTTACTGCCTCCTTTGCCTCCCAAATATCCGGAGAATGAGAATAACGTTTCTTATCAGGATAAAGGCTAAAGAGAGAGGGAGGTGAAAGCATCTCATTCGAACTACCTCTCAAATGGCACAGTTAGGTGCAACTATAAACGCCACCATGAGGTTGCAACGCCTAATGAGCCGCGATATCTGCGGGGGGATGAATATGAAGTTGGAGAACATGCATCCTTTGTCCTTCCTTGGGCAAGCGAGGCAGACAAACACGTGTCTCAGTTTTTCAGTTTCAATCGCGGACAACAATCTTCCGTTCTTCTATTAACCCTTCGTAGAAGATTGATACAACTCCCAGATCACAGCCATGCAAGCTAGCAGGGCCTACATACAGGCATCAAGATGTGAGGCCGGTCACACGGTCAAATAGCACATCACTATCTAACTCAGCTCCACAGCTTACATATGTATTGAGGTTCTAATTTGCTCACGAAAGCCAATAAGTTACTCCTTGGGATAACTAAACTAGCCTCATGCTCTATACCCATGTCGCCGGCCTACCTCTTTATAACCGTCGGGTGATCATCAATGAAGACAAGACGGCATACATGTACATACTATATAGTCTGTACGAATTTGTGAGTATACACCTATAAGTACCCGCAGGCTTTCCGAAACAGCATGTCAACATTGCAAACCGACGTTGTTCAACAGCCGCCCGGAAAGGCGACCTAAGGCAAACAATACGTGTGTGCTTGGTGTGGCATGCTTGCTAGTTCTGTACGACAAGATAACCTCGACCATCATTCGCTCGCTGGTGTTTGCGCTACGTAGCAGTTTGGACGTCGGCGGCTTTTGGACTATAAAGAACATGAGGCGTGTTACTACAACTGAAGAAACTATATGGTAGTGTCACTCATCAGGGGAAGGGAGCAGAAAACATCGAACAATCATCAATTGTTGCAAAGAATTTCAGAGCCTCTTCAACGTGAAAATGGTTAATACATGCGTTACAAACTCCAAACTCTTCAATAATGATATTTTCACCGACCAACTGGTCAACCACACTGCAATATCAAAACAACAAAAACGGCAAAACGGCAGCAGCATTACACACCAAATGCAGCGTGGCCACCCGTGATATCATAGTCTGGCCCTTCTAGACCTGACACTTTTAGACCTGGCCCCTTTGTCGTGTGCCCCGTTCTTAGGCCTGCAGCGTCCCAGTCGGGTGGGAGAATGGGTGTGTGTGTGTGGCCAACTCGAGGGAGACACTGCTGCTTACTTACACGGGGAGGTTTATCTATGAGACTTGTTTTCGACGGCCCACAAAGTATGGCCAGATGGTAACATTGGGCAGCAACTGTGGTGAAACACTGTGATGAGTGGTGGGACAGAAAGGACTATCAGGACAGAAGCCCTTCACTTTATTGCTCACTTAACCCCCGCCGGTTCACGTTCATCATGCCGCCAAACACCTCGCATCTATAGAGAGTACGCGTACTCAATACTCCATTGCCAATTTCCCCAGAATAGATACATATACACACATACTACTCACGCATATAACGCATAAACGCCTTCCCCGAGTTGCATCGCCTACCCCCGGCCTATGCCGCCTCCTACCCAGCCCCAAACCGCCAAAATGCCATGAATCAACCGCCTTATCAATTGCCTCACCCTTTTCTATTTTTCTTTGTTTTTTTCTGATTATTTATCCATCCTAACAATCAAGGAGTTTAGAGGACCCGCACACCATAGGACCAGTCACTTATCAGCGAATGCCGTAGAGGTAACATCGTCCTTGTCACCACTGCCCTTCGTCTGGATTCGTTCAGGCGCTAGTTATTCGTTTGGCTTCACACTTTGTTGTTGTACACGTTGCCGTCAACGTAATTGACTAGCTCCTTCACGTGGTCGAGATGCTCATGCCCCGCTCCAAAGTCCATGCCCTTCTTCATCACTCGCCTGTAGTTCAGTCCGGGACTGACCTTTCCTAGCACATACCCTCGCCTCGTTTCGACTCGAGAAGGCACTGGGATGCTTCGACCAACCACAGCTTCCATCCCTTGCCATGCAAAAGTGATAGCCTCCTTTGCATCCGCCGGAATGCCTGCCTCGTCTAACATGACGAACTGGGTCTCTGGGAACGACTCCTTGAGATGGTCAAGGATATTGGGGTTCTTTGCTCCACCTCCGCACATGTACACCTCAGCCAACGGCCCGTACTGCGTTGGCATGTATCGTCTGTAGTGTTCAACAATGGCCTGTGCGGTGATTCTAGTGATTGTAGCCACGATGTCATTGGGTGACATGCCCTCCGCTGTGCCGCGCTCAATAAGCTCGTGCGCGATAGTATCGCGGAATACTTCTCGGCCCGTCGTCTTGGGTGGCTCAAGCCCAAAGTAAAAGTGCGTCTTCAGAAAATCGTCCACCATCTCTTGGTTCACCTTGCCGGCTTTGCCCATCTCTCCATCCTTGTCGTACTCTCGCTCTCCATTGGTAAAGTACCGAACCGCAGCGTCGATAAAGACATTACCTGGGCCGGTATCAAAGTCAAAAAACTCATCGTTTAGCTGGCCGTTGGAATCCGGGGGAATAAAGCACACGTTGGCAATGCCGCCGATGTTCTGGCACGCCCTAAGCTTTGTGGGGTGATGGAGAACCAAGGAGTCAAAGAAGGCAATCAGGGGTGCGCCCTGTCGACCAGCCGCCTGGTCTGACACCCGGAAATCCGTTACGGTTGTGATGCCGGTGAGCGAGGCAATAAACGTTCCTTCGGCCATGGTGAGGGCAGACTGCTTGTGTCCGTCCTGGGGCATACTCTCCAACCAGATGGTCTGCCCGTGCGAACCGATAACGTCAATGGACGACAACGGGACGCCGTGTTTTTCCCCAAAAGCTTTGACTGCATCTGCAAACGTCTCTCCCAGAATGACATTGACTTCCGATAGCTCCTGTGGCGTTGTCGTATTGTGAAGAATCATGTTCATAACCCTCTTCTTGATCTTTGGCTCAAGGGGTATCTCATCATACTTGAGTAGTTCAAAGTGCATAGGCTCGCTAGGAGATGCTTGCTTGAATCGACAGAGAGCACAGTCAATTCCATCCATCGATGTGCCCGAGTTCAGCCCAAGGACTGTCATGTCGAGTGGCAACGATTCCTCCCCATAGATGACACCATTGGCAGAACCCATTTTGATATGTTGGTTGTACAGGTTATCAAAATAAGCACAGAGTTGAAATCTTTATAATATGAAGTTGAGGAGAGTGAATTTTGTTTGGGGAGAAGAGTGCTCAAACCTTGGCCCGGATCAAGAGAGTCGACTAGTTCTTTATTGCCTTATAATGGCCTAGGACCAAGCCCGTTCACTTAGCTTTTTAGAGCACGAATCCAGAAGCTCCTCAATGATTATTGGCTTTTAGACAACATATTTTCGAGGCCACAGACCAACTATGTGCGCGAGATGAGCCCGATGAGACCAAAGATACACCCCCCTTCAGGCCAGCCTCCGTCAAAACGCTTCGCACGGCTAAACGGCCACTTGCCAAAAGCGGACAACCATCAAATCGCCACCCCCATGTATGAATCTTGTTTAAACGTTTAGGCACTGCTTTAGCCGGCATAGATCACGTCCTCCGGCGCGTCCCCGCCTGGAGCCTCACCCTGGGAACATGAGTTTATTCCGGACAACGCGTACCGGAGGGTCCATCTTGGGCTCCGTTACGGACTAACGCACGTCTACAAGTCGGAAGGCCATCGTTTTTTTGGTTCTGACAGCCACCGCTGAAGTACAGTGGGAAACGGAGCGAGTGGTGGTGGTTGTGGTGTAGGCTCATCACACACGAGGTAGCACTCGCTTCGCTTCGATTCTTCAGCAGAACCTTGGGGCAGGCAGGTTGGCAGGCCGTATCAGACGTTCATGCTTTCATGCTCTTGGCTCATGGGTCAGAGACCGCCTTTTTTTTTTTCCTATCCCTCTTACGCACCGCCCCCAAGTCTTCCCGTGCCCGATTTTTTTTTTTTTTTCCTTTTAATACCCCTTGATTTAGTGTCAAAGCTTGAGTCCAGATCGTCAACCACATTTTGCCTCCCTTTGCCAATTAATATACTACACACGACTAGTACGAAGCACTGCCGCTTCAATGGCGGGTCTCCAGATTTGGCGCCATGTCCCGGGAAAGGTGCTGTTGTTCCTAATCAATCTCGTCGCGGCAACAGCCCTGATTTTCGAAGGTAAGAGGGTTTTTCCTGCTGGCGCGCCGAGCCGAACTTCCCCATCCGAGTCTAGTTCTGTGGTATCCAGTGCTAATGAGATCTCGCTCAAGGCTATAATCAGGGTGTCCTTGGGACCGTTAGCGCCACGCCAGGCTTCATCAAGATGGCAGATATCGGTCACGATGGGGTCGTAACCAACACCACTAAACAAGGCGGGCTTGCCGCAGCTTATTATTTCGGGGGGATGTGGGGATGCTTCATCGGTGGTACGATTATACCCTCAAGAGAGAACTTTTGTCCGAATGAAGGAGAAATAGGAAAAGAGAAGGATTGCTGTGTGTATGTGTACTAATTCACGACAACAGGATGGGTTGGTGATAAAATAGGCCGCAAAGGAGGTGTTCTCGTGGGAACCGCCTTCGGAATCCTCGGTGCGGCCCTGATGGCCGGCAGCCAGAATGCCAGCATGTTCATCTGTGCGCGTGTCATTGCGGGCATTGGCATTGGCTTTATGAATGCCATTATCCTACCATGGGTCAGCGAGCTATCCCAGTCGCACGACCGAGGTTCCAGCTTCTCCCTGGTCTTCGTCGCCAACTATCTGGGCATCGTCATTGCTTACTGGATCAATTTCGGCATCCGTAATTCCAACCTAGAGTTCCGCTGGCGATTCCCTCTGGCATGGATGATTATCCCGCTCCTAGTCGTTGACGTGGCAGTGCCGCTGCTACCTGAGTCTCCTCGGTCGGTTCATCCCTCCACCTGTATCTTCTATACGCCCCCCCTCCACCTCTTCTCCCGTCCCGTCCCCACAGTTTGCCGTTTACCATCTGTATAAGAACGCTGCTAACAGCTACCTGCAGATGGCTCATTGCCAATGGCCAGCGCCAGGAAGCCATTGATATCCTCTGCAAGCTCAGGGGAGATCTGAGCCCTGAAGATCCCATCATTGCTACCGAGGTTGAACAGCTAGATGCCATCGTTGAGGCGACTCACCACAAGCGCAATGACCTCGCCAACATCGTCCTAGGCGGCCGCTTCTCTGGAAAGCTGCATCTAGGCCGAAGAGCCGTTCTCGGATTTGCCCTGCAGTGGATCCAGCAATGGACCGGCATTCTCGCAATCGTGGGATGGGCCGGCGTCTTATTTGAGCTGGCTGGGTTTGATTCCTACAAGGCCCTCTGGCTAGCCGGCCTAGCGAACACCTTTGGCGTTCCTGGCACCGCAGCTGCAGCCTTTGTCATTGACCGAATGGGGCGTGTAAAGTCATTGATCACTTCCTTCATCATTCAGGGAGTCTGCCTGTTCCTGGTCGGCGCCCTCATCAAGACATCGCAAGACAATGCCATTTCGGATCCGGAACTTTCGCAGCGTCTAGGAACTGCTGCAGCAAGTTTTGTCTTTATTTATGTCTGGTAGGCTGATTCTCTGATATACCTCCTGTCCTCCATTTTTTCCCTTGTCCCGTTTCCTTTCCCCTCCTCCTGAATCCCAAACGTACACATAAAGATATTAATTATTACTATACAGGTTCTTTACCATGTTCAACATCATTCCCTGCTGGATCTACGGCACGGAGATCTGGCCTCAAGAGGTCCGTGCAAAGGGGTACAGCTTCACCATTTTTGGCTGGGCCACAGGCTGTGGCTCCACCACCCTCATCATGCCAATCTTCCTCAGCAGAGTCGGCTATGGCACCTATCTCTTCTTCGGTGCAATGAACGTTGTTGTTGCCCCGATTGTTTGGTTCTTCTATCCCGAACTTGCCAACCGAACTCTGGAAGAGATTTCGCTCCTCTTCACGAGCGAAAGCATGTTGGCAACCGAAAACGTGAAGGAATATCATCGTCGGGTTGGCGAAGCAGGAGGCAACGTTGCCGTTGCGGCCAGACAGCTGTTGGATGAAGTTGACGGTAAGGACTCGGAACGCGGCACAGAGCCTGGAAGCCCAGATGAAAAGAGGGTTGAGGCCAATACCGACGCCGTCATGTAAATTTGTTGACAAAATTAGCCCTTTTTGGAACACACAGTATCTTAATCGGAATAGTACACCTTATGTTTTATGAGCCATAAAGAAGATGTTCTTTTCTTCAAGTGAACACTCCACCAAAATCGAAATTCCACGTCAAATCTCCTAATAAGTCGGGGGGCACCAAGAACGACCAGTCACCTGCCATCTCTGAGCCAACCTGCTCATAATTATGCGCAGCACCTCTTGAACTGTCGACTGGCAACACTTGTTGCATCGTAGTACTCACTGGAGTTTCCTCCAGAGCCGGCCTTGACTGTTGGCGCTGGGCCGCCATGTACTCGTCAATGCGGGATACCTGAGATCGAAGCTTCTCGCTGGCACTCGAGCTCCGGTGTATCGTCTCGAGGTTTTCCAGAAGCCTTGCCATTGATAACATGACAGATCTCACCCGATTGTACTCCCCCTCGCTAAGTGGCTCCTCAAAGACGGAACCGAGAATGGCGCCGATTCCACCCAGATGATGCAGCAGTGGTTTGCTTATAGTCAAGCAATATTGCACCGGAATGGAGCTGAAAGCATCCACCACGTCGGAGGCAATCTCACAACGCTCTGCAATACTTGCGCCTCCCGCCGCGAAGAGAGTGATGCGAAGAAGCTGAAGGCTGGCAGTGATGTTGGCTGCCTGGAAGCCAAATAGATCCTGCTTCTGGTTGAATGCCATGGTTGGTGTGTTTTTGAAGCATTCAGGAAGGTTCAGATACATGCGGAGCACTTTGTCACGAACAGATGTCCCAGTCACGGTGGACTGGTCGTCGATGATTTCGGACATGAAGGATCTCCTACGGTCCCGGAATCGTGCCAGAGCATGCTCCAACACTCTGTATAGATCCGTGATGAAATTCCAGCCAGACAACCAGCAATCAGACTGGGCAGTCAGGACGAGGCGAGCAATGGGAGGGCTTAGGCTACTGGGTGAGAGGCCTGGCCGTGCAATGCCTCCGTCACTAATGTATTGGTCATCCACCTCTGCTGGGTAAGCAACATTGGCTTGCTGTTCACGAGAACGAATAACACCACCCCAAACCACAGACGTGAAGATATCCAGGGTATAAATAGACCAAAACTATTTGAGCAAGGCGGTGGGTTAGCTGGTGTGAGCGGTGAGGGAAGGTGTTAATTTAGAAATGCCCTCACCATTCTTCTCCTCTCTTCTCTCTCGATAATGCCAATGCCAGACGGCCAGTTCACCTCATCATGAAGCCCATCCATGGCCATGAGTGTGTGATAAATGCCAAGATGATGATGCATGTCCCGAATTTTGCCATTTTGAATAGCCGTAATGGCCATTATAGCGTGACCACGGAGGATGTTGAAGTCTGAACTTTCAACGCCATTGTCCAACAGCTGCCTCTTGGCCTCGGCGTAAAAGGTGTCTGGCAATGTCTCTCTCTGGAGGGCCTGGACGTCCCATCGCGGGTTCATGACGGAGCCGTCACGGACCCGGCCGCCCACCAGGGCACACACGGCCATGGTAGTGGCAAAGAGCGACTGATTAGTATTGTACTCGGCCCTCGATATCTTGCGAGTGAAGGAGGGCTGGTGGAAGAAGGGAAAGATTGGGTAGACAATTTCAAAGTAGAGCTCGACGAGATCAACGACAGTGGCCTGGCTGACGATGTAGGGAGCCCGCCAGGCCGACTGTGACTGCGGCGAGGCATTGGCATTGGGCCCCGGGTGCTGAATCTCGGGGATTATTCGCAAGTCTCCCTGGGATGGCGATCTCGACGACTCTAGATCTGGCAAACCCTCCACTGCATGTCGATTGGCCGAGGATCCCCCACTGCCGCGAGCGGGTACTCCTCGCCGACGCGGCTTCCGGTGGTAAGTACAGGTCTGGGCGAAGTCTCTGCAGTTCTGGCAGCCTGTGCCGTCCTCAGCCGGGCGGCAGCGGATGCTGCGGCGATGGCAGTAGTCGCAGGCCCGCGAAATGCGGCGCTGCTTGGGCTTGGGGACGTCCCGAGGGCTCTGATCAGACATGATCCAGTCAGTAGTCAACGCGTGGGCTGCTCTGACTCAGGAGAGAAAAGAGAAGGCTAAACGGCAAACACCCTGGCCCCCCGCGTCACCCGCGATCTAATATAGCGTCTCTGCAGAGACAGTGGAAGTGAGACAGCCTGTTGCTGAAGATGTCCTTTGTGGCTTTTGTTTCTCGAGGGCGGCTGCTACTGTACACCGCGGCTTGCAGAATTGCCGCGAAGCTGAGTGAGTGACAGAAGTAATGAGTGAGAAGTAACGAGTAAGAAACAGTGCGAATGCGAGCCTAAGGAGATAGTAGTATTTACCCGTACTCCATACAGTGATTCAGATACCTAGGTTGCTAGGTTACCTTATTAATAGGCTCCGCTGGCAGGGTACATATCCAATTCCGGCTTCCACTGCTACCTTACTCCGGCCTTTCGAGCCTTTGCGTCGCGCCAAGAACGAGATGGTTGGTATCAATTGCTTGAGTAAAATTTCCATTCGCGTGTCCTGATCCTAATCCCGCCCCAAGGATAGATACATCTACCGATAACATATGCAGCCATCTACTGACAACTCCTCCTCCATAACTTGGTACATTACATACAATTAATCTCATTTCATTCATTCAACGTTCCAGTTCCATCACCCGTCTTATAGGCTAGATGTTCTGATCAGTCCGAACGGATATAACCAAGAGCGCATAAGATAAGGTAAGCCTAAAGGTAAAGTAGCGGAGTTTGTGTCAAAGCACTATCGAAAGTATAAGTGCTCCAAGAGATGTACCGCCGTGCCGACTTATCCTCTCTGCTTGCTCTCTTGATACCTGGCACGTCGCGCCACATACCTTGAAGGTTCTTAGCAGGCGCCGCCAGGTACAAGCAAGCTTAGGGCTGATACCTTGACAATTTGAGTACCAAACATCAACTGTCAACTCGAATCTTAGGCGCCCTGACCCCGCTCAATCTCAAACAATTGTGGCACGACATCTCCGAGAGTCTGCTCCAGACTTCGCCACTTGATTCCTAGAACTTTGTCCGTCTCGGCCGTGCTCACGCCAAAGTGTGTGTGTGACTCCCGCTTGCCCGGCTCGCCGATCGGAATTCGATCGCCGTACTTGGGCAGCAGTCGCCGGCTCACGTCTGCCAGCTCCTGGTTGCAATAAATACCGCCGGCGAGGAGATAGCGGCCACCGCCGGCCTCGACAATCCGGAGCGCCTTGACATGAGCTTCAGCCGTGTCTCTGACATCCACCCACACCGGCCCTTTGGTAGGAATTAGGGCACTGTTACGGCCAGCTGAGACTGCGGCCCAGACCAGCAGGTTGCTAGTGTTGACGCCGGCAATGGACTTGGGCTTGGCCTCGGGCAGAAAAGGCCCAAAGACCATGCTGGGACATAGGCTGACGAGATCAAACCCTAGCGCCCTGCTCTCCATAAACTTCCAGGCGGCCTTCTCTGCTGCTGTCTTGCTCGCGCGATATGCTGCTGGGGCGTTGTCTGCCTGTGCTCCGTCTTCGTATGTCAAGGGGCTCCAGTCTTGAGCCGTGTAAATCTTTCCGGGGCTTGGGCCGGCCGAGGCGTCGTATATGGAGGCAAAGCTATTTGTGTGAACGATTCTCCGGATGCTCTTGATCTGAGCCGCCGCCTCCAGGATAGCCGTTGACCCTCGCACCGCGGGGATCATCATCTCTTGTTCGAAGTTGGTCGCATTGTAGTGAAATGGAGCGGCAAGGTGAAGGACTGCTGCTGGTGATAAGGGTCCAAGAACATCAAGATAGCTTTGGGCGTTTGTGATGTCTTCGATGACGACCACGTCTAGCCCGGGATGTCTCTTGTGCGAATTCTTCACTGCTTCAACCTTGGACGCACTTCTGACGGTGCCAACAACGTGGTAGCCCTCTTGGAGCAGGGCGGCAACGCAATGCTGTGCAATGAATCCGTTGGCGCCGGTGACGACGACCAGCGCCGGCGGCTCAATGCCAGATGCTAGTAATGAGGGCATTTTGTGATTTCAAGTGGATAGAATGACGGTCCAGCAACGCTTTTGACACTCAAGAAGAAAATGGAGGGAAAAGATGAATATGTCTTCCTATCAGCTCAAGTGCTCGCTGGTCTCAACGCTCAGAGGACAAAGGGAAGAGGGCGTTATGTATCCAGCGCTCCCTGGGGAATCTGCTGTGAGATCGTCGTGTCAGCAGTTGTCTATGAGAGAAAATAGCAGTGGCCACAAACGCCCAGACCAGCGGAGAATCGTTGCAGGCTCATGACCACATTCTCGTGGGCGCTTCCCGACGGCCAGAAGTCCGGTGTTACACGCCGCTCGACGCTCTTGACAAATTTACAAGAGACGAGAGGCTTGATGGAGCGATAGATCAGCGTCCGCTCTTCAGACTGTCGGGCGACTGGCAAAGACGGTGCTGGATAGCGTGCATGCCAACCCGACCCCCTGCAGCCGTCGCAAAGCTCCCTTCTCGAACGAGCTTGTGCGTCTTCCAAGAAGCCTCCGGTGTGGGGCAGGGAGGAGAGAAAGAGCCGGCATCCGGCCCCGGCGACTTCGCCGAGCGGACCGGTGTAGGACATGAAATGCAGCCTTGTTGACAGGAATGTGGGTTAAACATGTGCTGTGTATGAGTGCTCTCTGAGTGGCTGCTGATCATCCAGCACAGTCGTCGTTGTGTTACCTTGTGCAAGTTATAGAGTACATGTATTAGTCCCATTCTCAAGTCCCACCAACAACCTCATGTGGCCATCTGGTATTATGCCATTTGCTGATCGAGTCTCTTCAAAGTTAGAGCGATTCAAATAGACTGAATTCATTTATTTACAAGCTTCTTCATTCGCTACACGGATCGGCCGGCGACGTTGTACGACTCCAGAATTTCTAGTGCACAGTCGACTCATCCCCGCTATCACCACTTCGTCTTCACAGCAAATAATGGGAACCAATAGGTTTGCGTCTGATTCAAACTTCTTCATAGGCTGTTTTCTCCGCATGGATTCACTTGTAATGACAGAAAACAGTCACCATTATTGGTCGACACTGGCCTTTTCTTACCCTTTTTCAACAGGTGGCGGCCTTGGCCATATGCATTCCGTCGGCCTCGACCTGGCTGTTGACGCCACAGCTGATGAGTCTAACACCGAATGAAGGACTGAAAGGATCGGATATGGCTCGACGCGCGAATAGCAAAGGCGTGAAGTACTAGCTCTTGTGTCATTCCAACTAAATCGATAAGCAGCACAACAGGCAACGATGTGCTGTATGACAGGTTGCAACCACCTGATTGCTCCACAGAGGCGCAGTGACGACGTGATAGCAGCAGAGAATCCGAGTGGGATATCATCCAGAATAGCAGTGGACAGGTCATGGCCGTCGCAAACTCTATTACACATGGCGCGCCGCGGAGTCGTAACGGCGCTGATGAAACGCCATTCGCATTGCATATCATCTTAGGAGTAAGAAAGAGGACATCGCATTCCATCAACATGTGCCTCACCTACTTTTGGCTGCAACCCTATAGCCAGCCAATGGCGAGTAAATACACGTGTGGCAGGTCGTCTCCCTACAGTTGTCATTGATGGCACAGGGAACCTGCATAGGTTGGGGTATTTACTTCGTACTCTATCCATACATACGAAGCATACGGAGTACCGATATGGGTACATGGTTACGAGGGCTATGTAAGCAGCAAATGGTTACTCTGAGACGATGCAATCAACGAAGCAAAATGAGCATGGGGAAGACACCTACAACAGTATCGGATATGGTACTACTGCTACAAGTGCAAGTATCGAAGCAGAAAGTGGCCAATGCACAGCCGTGTGCCTACCCAGTCTTGGTATCATGTGTGATACAAGACTGACAAACCCCTAGCCATTTCTCCTGTGGAAATAACGGGCTATGATTCGATGCTATGTTTCGGCTGAGGTTTCAGTCGAGCTATTCCTAGAGCGTTCACGTACTCCGTATCCGCGGCCATATCGACCGACCAGGGTCAGCCATGTTTGCTATCGCATATCAACTTGTGGCTTCTATGGAGCATCTCCGTGGTCCAAGTCATGACTTGTACGTGCGGATTATGGAGCAACGCAATCAATCATGAGGCCAGTCTCGATCCGCCTGCCCATCTCCCGCTCCTGGTGATTCGCAATTCTCTTTGGTGTCCGAGATACGGCTCCTCTGGGCTCTATCCGCGGGTGGATGATGGCGCTGACACTACTCATCTCCACAGCTTACCCGTTGCTGCATGTATCCACTACCGCTTCAAAAGCCGAGCACGTTTGAAAACGAGCTTGCAATACCGTACGCGTAGCAGTACTGTACTAGATATTCCAAAATTGGCGACATAATTTTGCCCAAGACGTGTAAGTGACATGGACCACTTATCACTTGATATGAGCATCGGTTCTGCAAGCGTTTGTGTGGGGAAGTGAGCATCAAGTTGTAGCATCGGTAAGCACCCTGGAGCCATTGCCCCTATTCGGTGAGGGTCGAGACAGTGTCGTCGGTTTGCGTTGCTTCATGGATAACATCGAGGCCGAAAAGAATGGATTGTATAATGATACAAACGTTGCCATAACTAACTAAAACTAGGTATAATGAATAAGGCTGCCTCTAGGTATATTTATTTGCTTCAACTTGTAACTTTGTACCCGTAGATAGAAAGAACCACTCGAATTTTTATCACACACAGACAAAACAGAAAAAAGAAAAACACATAGCTCGGAAAGCATCCAGGCCCCCCAGCTCGCGCTTAGTATACATATTGGAAGGTTGGGTTTGTAAGATCCGTCTGCTCGTCGTCGACGGCCTTGGCGTCAATCTCGCCTCGCTTGATGGCCTCCAGCTCCGCTTTGCGTGCCGCAGCCGTCTTAGCATTGCGGACTCCGTAGAGGATTCTCAACAGGATCGTAACGATGATGGATCCACCGGCAACGCCCAGGACGGTGATCTTGGCGGGCAGATACTTGGGCTTATCCTTGTCCTGGAACGTCTGTGGGCCGATGATGTTGGCGATTGAGAAGGCAATGGCGATGATTACGTTGACGGTAACCTTTTTCGTGTATCCTTGGGTATTAGCACCGACCAGAGCGTAGATGAGAGCTAGGGGAGCCACGTCGAAGTTGATGAGGTAGACACCAGCCAGGGCACCGCCATTGGTCTTAGCAAAGGACATCAATGCGGCGCCAATGATGGTGGGGATCAGGAGACCAATGATGCTCAGCCAGCGAGGCAGGTTGTAGTAGATCACGTATGTTCCGGCGAGGGTCGCAAAGATTGAGATCGCACCGGCGGGCATGTTGAGCAGAGCCGACTTCTTGGGCGTAAGGAAGATGGAGTTGATGATGGTGGCCGAGAAGGTGGTAATGATACCGGAAGGGATGACAATCAGAATGGTGTTGACAAACAGAAGCCACACCTGGAGATCCTTAAGGGCGTCCAAGATACCAGACATCTTGAAAACCTTCTTGCCGGCTCCGGCCTGGTCGCGGGCCAGGACCTCCTCGATCAGAGCCTTCTCGTCCTCGGTCAGGAAGGTTGCCTCACGAACACCGCTGGGCATGAAGAAGATGACGGCCAGGGCAACAAACAGGTTGAAGACACCGACGGAAACGAACATGATACGCCAGCCCTGGAAAGACGAAGTTGTCGAGCCGTGCTGAGCCGCCCACGAAATCAGTCCTCCCATGACCTGTCCACCACCGAGACCGCAGTACCAGATACCAGTGCGCAGGGTAGCCTGCTTCTTGTTGTACCACTGAGACGTGATCATGATGAGGGCAGGCGTGATGACAGCCTCAAACATGCCGAGCAGCGTCCTCACAGCAGCGGCACCAGCAAAGTTCTGCGTCGCAGCCGTGCAGCACACGATGATACCCCAGAGCAGCACGTTGAATCCGAGCACCTTGGACACGGGGAACTTCTGGATCAGGTAGCCCTGGGGGAACTCAGCGATGGCGTAACCGATGAAGAAGGCCGTGGCCATCCAGGAGAAGTCGTTGCCGACAAAGTGGAGGTTCTTGGCGATACCCATGATGTTGGCGTAGTTGACGATGACCTTGTCGAGGAACTGCAGGAAGTAGCAGAAGAACATAAGTGGCACGAGCCTCATGTCGATCTTTCGGTAGATGCGCTTGAGCTGGTCGGTTTTGGCCAACGGGTCGTCCATTGACGAGCCGTGGCTCGAGGTCACTGGCGAAGCGACCTTTTCATCCATTGTGTGATATTATTTTTTTTTTCTTCGGGTAGAAAGAAGATGATTTGAATGTCGAAATGGGAAGGGGGAGAATCAAAAAGAGTCCAAATCAACAATAACACGTTATTACGTTCAAACAATAAAACATAAAAAAGATAATAAACAAAGGAAGAGGTGCGTGACTCAGTTCATTAGTTTATAGAAAAAAACCAAAGAAGCCACAGACGGGAAGAGGAGGGAGAGCGAAGGTCATGAATCAATGGCTAAAACATCAACGCATGAAGTTTCCACCCGCGAGACCACAGAAGGCGACCCAAAGCCTCATACATATATCAAACATTGGCTTCCGCACCAGCTAGGAAAGAACGGGAAAAACGTACGATCCCCTTTTTTCTGTTTTCTCTGCCTTGCGATTCGCTCGTTGCATCCTTCACCTTGTTCAATTTTAGTGTTCTGGGCCGTTCGTTTGCATGGTGCGTCGGTTCGTCTTTTACGATGTAACCTTGGCGGACTTGAGCAAGGCTAAAGACAGACAAGTACCCGTTCATTTTCTCTTCCCTCTCTATTTTTCTCTATCTATTGCGTTCCCTTGTATAGACACTAAGCCCCAATAGATGAAGCAAATATTAGCGGCTGAATCACCTCACAGCTGAAGTGGCAAGGAGTGCTTTGAGATTGCAAAATGCACCAAAGAGACGAGAGAGTTCATGCTGGGGGCCGCAAGGGCATGAACTCGCACCCATGAAAAATAAAAGTGGCCATAATATTCCTCATTAAGCCTCTTGGACCAGCCCGGCATCTTGCAGCACTAAAGAGGATTCAGGATTTCCAATGGGGAAGGCTATACAAGGGGGGGCCGACTGGAATCCGCATCCGAAACCCTCACTTCATTCTCTTTGCCCTCGGAGGATTTTGATTCGATGAGCCATGGAGATTGGAGTGGGCCGTGCTACAGGATCTGAGGCCAAATCTCGAAGCATTAGTCACTTCCATCGAGATTTGGCAGGGCCGGCTTCTGGAGGGTGCAAAGGGTTGTTCTTCATTGTCAACTTATTGCGAAGATCCTACCTGTTTTTGCAAACTAACATCGTATCGCCACCCCGATACGAACCTCGAACGAGCGTCTTTTTCCTTTCCCCAGACGCATTGATGCCAATATTTCCTCGCCGTTACAGATTCGGTTCAGCGCGTGAAGGTTGGCACGGTCCCCCCTTGTGTTTGCTGCCGGGCTTCGTCCCAAAACCGTTCGTCAAGAGGGCTTCTCGATACGATAGAGCAATCTCCAGCTGCCGTCAGCCAGACCAATGCATTCTTCGATACCATCCGCGGTCTAACTTCGTTACGCCTAACGCAATCCTTCCTGTCTTGGGCCCTGGACATTAGAAAATGGAAAACGCAAACAGACACAGCGACGCATAGCTCCAGCAGCCAAACACCTTGAATCTCACCCTCGCCCCCCCCCCCCCCCCCAAGAGAAAATCTGCGGCCGTCGGAAACCCCTGTTCTGCCGCCGCGCTTGGTCCCGTCGCACCGGACAGTCAACCGGACGCTCGGGTCGCTTCCGAGCCCAGGCGGTCCAGAAATCCAAACCAAGTCGGGCATGAGAGGCGAAATCCAAACTCCATAACGGAGCGCGAAAGCTGCAGCTACCAGAGTCTCCGCAATGCCCATCCAGATCCTAGTGACACGATGGTATAACGCCGAGAGAGTGAAAGGGAAAAAGATGGGGGCCTCTTTTTTTTTCTTCTGTGCCCCTTCGCGCTACAATTCTTCGCTCGAGGCATCCAGAAGCAAGATGCGGAACCTAAAACATCGTGAAACCAACCGTCGTGAGAATCAGGAGGCGCCCTAGAGGTAATCCGCGCAGCCCAGCAAGGCAGAACTTCAGCAGAAACAGCCTCCAGCTCAGTCTCATGTAAATTGCCTGCATACGAGCATCGGCCGGCGCAGCGAAACCGAATCGATAACCGACGGCACATCACTTCATTCATCGGCTAGACGCCGAAAAAAACAATCCGTTATTAATCAAATGCCCCCCAGCCAAGGGAATACATGGCCCAAGCATAAAAGTAATCAAACATGTTCTGGAGGCAAGGTAAATTTGTGTCATAACCGAAGAAGATAGACTAACACCGTGCTCTCCGTACTTCCGTAAAGCCGCGCTTTTTGTCTCCGCCGGCTTACTCCTGCTTTCTGCGTCTATGGGTACTTGTCAGATAAGGATGATGCGCCGCCGCCGTCGTAAAATGAAATGCGTGCTTGTTATCCCATTATATCCGCCAGGACTCGCGGGATAGAGTGCTGATGCGGAGCGCATCCCTGGCGGGCAGTTGAGCAAAATGTAACGGCACAGCCAACAAGTGTCCATGTATGTACGGAGTACTGCACTATGCAAAACGTAATGCATCGTCGCCATTAGCAACTGCGCTGGCTTCATCTACTGTGTCTTCCGACGGCTGCAACATCCGTCAAGCCTCCAAAAGCTATGATCTTCGTCTGCTGGCGAGAAACGCGATTGCTCCGACGGCCGTGATACCAACTAACCCCGTGTAGCTAACGGCTTGCGACTAACGGTAACATTTCCTCAGCGGCAGAGAGCTCGGGATGCGTGTATAAGGCCAACATGTCATTGCGCAGACTCCGAGGGCTCAAAATAGACGTTTGTTATTGGGCAAGCAAATGCTATTCCCATTCAATTCAGTTCTTCATTCATACTCGCGTGACTAGATGCCCAACGTATAATCCATCTATAATACTACCTACCCATTTCCCCGTCGTCCTTTATTGGTCGACTCCCTTTTTCTTGTCCGAGACATCTATGCCAGAAGGAGACGCAAAACGTTATAAAGTCTTTCAAAAGTTTAACATAAATACTCATCATGCCCGTCACCGCCAAAAGTCAATCGACCTCCTCTTACAACATAGCCATCATCGGCTCTGGCTTGGGCGGTCTCTCCGCCGCCATTGCTCTCCGTCGTGCCGGCCATCAAGTCACCATCTATGAACGATATGACTTTGGCGGAGAAGTCGGTGCGTCACTGTCGCTCGCCTCCAACGGCTCGCGGTTCCTACATGAATGGGAAGTGGACATTCCGGCCGCTAAGCCCGTCATTCTGCGGAACCTCATTATGCACGATTGGTCGTCGGGAGAGATTTCCGGCCAGTATCCACTGGGAGACTATCGTGAGCGGTTCGGAACAGACTACAACAATTTCCACAGAATTGATCTTCATAAGCACCTAAAAAATGTGGCCACTGCCGAAGCGGGCCAGGGCCCTCCGGCACAGCTAAAAGTGTGGCATAAAGCAATCAAGCTAGATCCTGCTCAAGGCAGAATAGCGTTTGAAAACGGCACCGAGGCTGTTCATGATGTTGTCGTTTGTGCGGATGGAATTCGAAGCCAGATGCGGGAGCAACTTGGCATCACTCCGCAAGTCACGCCGTCCACCTCATGTTGCTACAGGTGCATCATCAGCACCAAAAAGCTCCGCGAGTTGGGCCTTGGCGAGTTTGCCGATAATAGCGCCATTGAGTTCTGGGGCGGGAAAGGCATCGATAAGATTGTCATGAGCCCTTGCTCTAACCACGAGGTCGTCAGCTGCTATTGCTTCTATCCAGCGGAAAAGAACGATCTCAAGGAGGATGGCTGGAATATCTCGTCCACGGGCGAGAATCTGGCAGCAACATTCCCCGATCTGGACGACAGGCTGCGGCTTCTGTTTCGCAACGCAGAGGACATCAAGATGTGGCGCCTTTACAATCATGAGCCTTATCCTTATTGGGTGAATGGTCGTTGCTGCCTCCTTGGAGACGCAGCTCATCCCATGATGCCTGATCAGTCTCAAGGCGCTTGCATGGCTCTCGAAGATGCTGGTGCGCTTGGTATCCTCTTCTCAGCCGAGTATGCGCATCTGTCTATACCAGACAAGCTTCAAATGTATGAGCTAGAGCGCAGGCCACGAGCCTCGCGTGTGCAAGAGAGCAGCCGCCGAGCCAGAACAGACATAACAGAGCGGATTGGCTGGAGCAGTGCCAACGACCGGCCGGGAAAGCTGACCATTGAAGAGGTATGCGGGTACAATATGCATTCTCATGTAGCCGAGCTGGTGGAGAAACTCGCGAACCCCTGATGAAACCCGCGGTAAATGAGCACCAATAATGGTTATAGTTGCTGCTGCTGCTGCTGGCGTTATTATTGTGCTTGCTCTTATGGCCGATGTAGTGCTAGTAAAGACGGCCTCCTGATTTGGCTGTTGGGGCGGGTCGGCAACTTGTATCAGCGTTCAAGGAGTGGGAGACCATGTCCGGCTAAACGATTTATGCCAGGACAAGCTTCCCCCTTTTTTTTCTCTTTTGCAGCCAACAATGAAGGCGGATTGTGTTTAGAAAACAGCCAGGCCGTGCATTTCCTCGTACCGAATGCGTGCCCAGTTAACAATGGTCCCTGTGCCTTCGGTTTGATCTCTCATCCTCCAAACTCGCTCCACCAGCTCTCGGGCGTTGTAAATGTATCCGAAGCCACAGGTACGCTCCATAACCAGGAGGCGGTCCTGAATGACAACACGTTGCTCCATAGTCCAGCATGCACCCCCAGCCATGACCAAGGGGTACATGAGACAGGGTTCCAAAGCGCTGCCATAGCGAATCTTTTGCACCGACTCTAAAATGCCCTCGACGTTGGTAACAACTCTGGCATCATTCACGTCGTAGCCTTCAACAATTTGGTGGAGGCGAAGCCTGATAGCATACTCGTAGGCCATGGTTGCGTGCACAACATCGTCGTTGTTGGTTACATTGGCAGTCCAAGCTGCTCGTGGCAGGCCGCCGTATTCATACGACCAGTGGTTGATACGTTCTTCGATTTGTGAGGCTTCTTTGCGAAAGATGGCCTCTGAAACGCGATCAACTCGGGTTTTCCGCTTGTCTGCAAGCGAGTTGACCACGTCGACCAGATGGAACAGCTCTTTAGGGATGCCGTAAATGGCCGAGTCTTCATCATCAGGGGAGGCCGTCAGCCGATCCAGCGTGGCCGCCTCCCTTTCATCTTCACCCATAAGCGGGGGCTTGCAGGTTGACGTCGTAGCAGCGGAATCGAGGAACCGTGCAAGCCGCACAAGAAACTTGTTGTGGCCATTCATACGATCACCCTGCTGCTGGTTCATTAATGCTGTCAGCAGCCTCTTGGCGCCCTTTAGATGGAGCCGCCACCCTTCGCTGGTGCCATCAAACAGCTCCGTCATGCATAGCAGCAGGCTGCTAACAAGGGCAATGTCGGCATTAGATCTATCCACATGTGGTAGGAGCCTGGCCAGAGACTGCGTCGCTTTGCTCTGGTGGTATATACCCCTGTCAGCCAGTTGAGGTTGCAATTTGCGCCAGTGGTTCGCAGAAAGGGCCAGGATGCAGTGCATGACGAGGCCATTGGACCGAGCGATGGGGAGCAGGTAGCCGTTGTAGGGGTTAGAGGTAGACATGCGACGGGACAGCAGAGACGACACAATGGTGATGTAGTGGTTGAGCAAAGCCCTGTCGTGGGAGGACGTCAGCTGCGGCAGCAACTGCGGGTTATAGATAGATAGAGACGACATGGATGTCATGGGTGATACAGTGAGTGAGTCGTGTGAATCTGATCGAGGGCTGTCGTAGCTTATTGGCGTTATGGACTCGTGCCAGCCCACTGGGGACGAGCCATGCTGATCCCAGGCAGATCTGTCGGTGGGTAGTTCGATTAAATCATTGGTGGACGATGATGCCAGCGGCAGACTTCCAAAGTGATGATCCAGCGAATAGTGGCTGGCGCTGGCGCTGCTGGAGCTGCTGCTGCTGGAAGAACTCAAGGCTGGGCTGTTACCGCCTCGGATGATGAGCTCGGTGGTTCCGTCGGCGATGCCATCGACGGCGATGGATTCCTCCTTTGTGGGCATATCTCTAGGAGCGGCAGCCTCGGCCGCCATGGATGCCGCAGCACCCACAGCGACGGTTGCACCCACGGGCTTGTCCTTGGGACGCTCGGGAGGCCACGCGCAGTCGAGGCACAGGCGCCTGCAGTCGCCGCATCGCGGTTTCGTCTCGTCGCATTTCTTCTTGCGGCGCTTGCACATGAGGCACCCTGTCTGCACCCTCCGGATGCGTGCCTTGGGCAGATCACCCACCTGTTGGTTGGCTGAGCTGCTGGAGTCGCGTGGCCGACAGGGAAGGCTCAGGCGCAGGCACCGCGCACACGGCACGCTGCCATCGCAGGCCTGTTTGATCTGGGCACAGCGATGGCATACAGGACGGCTGTCGGAGCCCATGGCGATGCTGCGGGATGTAGCGTTTCGGTCCTGTCCTGTTTTGTCTTCCTCTTTCCTCTCTCTCGTTTCCTTCTCCCCCTCTACTCGCTCTCACAGCTCTCTCACCTAAGTCCTGGCCTTGTTCGTGGACAGTTTCCAGGACACGCACACAAACGATTCCCCAAAAAGCGAGTTCCAACGGGTTGGTGGTGGTAATACGGGTTTGGTTGAGCTTCCAGGCCCCAGTTTTTGCCGCCTCGAAATCACTCGTCTGCCCGTGCAAAGCGGGTAAGGCTAAAGGAGGTTTCTCTTAGATAAAATGGGCGCGGCAAGAGTGCAAATATCGTCTTCAAGGCCTCTGCTTCTCATGGCGAGGTCGAGCTTCAATAGGATCAAAGGGCTTGTCGAGGACGGGGCGACGATCGGGGGGGAGCCCTTTTGGCGACGCAGCCTGGTTGGTTCTACAAGAGCGGTAGCATCAAGAGGGAAACCGAGCAGGACTCGGGAATACTTGTACAAGGACGGGGCGGACCCCGGTAGATAGTGGCACGGGTACATGTACTTGCACCTCCAGGCGGCGCCGATCTGGCTGCAGCGGGGGTCTCTCTTGGGGGCGCCAATGGATCCTGGATCTTTGGTTGTTGGTGCTACGGGGCAGCTTGTAGCGTCCCAAGCCAGTGCAACCCTGAGGACTCGGCTCGTGTGTGCAAGTACCGGTACGCGCTCTCCAGATGCTGATGCTTGCAGACACCACCTCACTTGTCAGCCAGCAGGCATTGGGACTGCCTTGTTTGCGTCGTTTAGCGAGTGAGAGGTGCTAGCAGGGCCTCCAGAAACCCCGAGCTGCCCCTGTAAGCACCAGGGCGAACAAGGTCGCAAAACATCCATCCATTCAACGGTTGGTACTAAAGTGCTAACTGGAAGCTGCTGGTGCTGTCATCTGAGGACAGGTTGACGAGAAGATTGTCCGTCCGTGGGAATACAGGTACCAACAACATAACCACAGCGGAGAGGGGTGGGGAGATCGGTCAATAGGGATCAAAGCCGCCATCGCCGTCTCCGAAACAAGAGACATTCTCCATTTGGTGCTATAGGTACTTGGCCCGAGTCGATATTGGCAGGTCGGTAGGTACTGTACATACCAATTACCTTGGTACGTACCTGATATATTGATACGATGCCGTGCTGTACGAGTATTAGCATCTTGAGATCAAATTCGCTTCCATCTACTCCGTATTACCCATACCGTCTTTCGCTCTTTCGAGTACCTCCATACCTACCTACCTAATAGATCATAGAGATCGGGCCAAGACTCAAAAGGATTATTAGCCGTAGCCAAAGAGGGGGGTCGGCAAAGCGCATGGATGCTTACCGTGGCTGTCTCGCAACACACTGATCCCGTCGATTCGGGACTGACAGTTGATGACTGCGATGCGATGCGATGCGATGCGCAAGTCTGTAATGCACGCATCTCGTTTTAGCCACGTATTAGGTACCATTAGATTGATAGCTGTAGGAACGGTTACATGTAGAGTACATGTACGAGTACACCCAACCGTCTGTACCGGTACTTTACTGCTCTGCCTCTATTCCGTACGAGTACTCGCACCTTTCGTGTCGGCCGGAGAGAGGGGCCGGTCGTGCTACTTGGCCTAGCCCCGTTGCACCGTTTCGTTTTCTCTCAGTGCGTTTGGAATGTTCCTTTGCCGAGCAGATTCCGTCAATCCATTATTCCCATCTTCTCCGTACGGTATCCCGTTTGCCCGTCTATCCTATGCCATCCTTAGTAGGTGTTAGTACCTGTTGTAGCTCAGTACTTGACTCTACCACGCCTGCTCGCTAATCAGAGCCACAGACGGCCGGCGCTGCAGAATTTGGGGGCCTAAGATGCAGATCCCTTTGCTCGCCCCTCAGTACCATCTGCGGGTTTCAAAGCCTCGACAGCTGCAAATCACCGGGCGGAGCATCAACTTGGTGGGCGTTTGAAACACCGTGCGCGAGTACTACAGTATGCAGCCGGAATGGAATGCATCCTGCCAGCTCCATCGTCGGCCAACTTTTCCCGCCTCTGTTCCTGTTGTCTCCCAGCACAGACTCGTAAATAGTACCTGCACGAGGACGTCAAATGCGGGCAAAACGCCCTTCTCTCTGCAGCCAACAGCCAGCAGCGCCCTCGCTAAAGGAGGCGGTCATCCATCCTCGCCTTATCTCCCTGCCCTCACTGCATCGCCGCATGATGCGCCACGCCAAAGCAAGACAAACGCCTGTTGCTACGCCTAAAAAGGGATGCGCTAGATCCCCGATATCCCAGCTAGACTGCATTGTCACAATTGGCCAAGACCCTAGTCAGGACCGGCACCAGAGATTTGAGAGGCGGGGACGGGCTTGACTAGCAGCAAGGCATCTTTCGAACGATAGGCGCGGCCACCAGACAGGGACGAGTATATTTGGATTAATACTGTGCTCGTACGAGCACTGATGGGTAAGCTTGCTGCTGTGGGCGAGAAAGAGGGGGTTCCGTCAGGACAAGTCGACCTGAGACGGGCAGTGGCAGTTCCTGGCGCTAGACCGACGACGCAACGAAACACACAGCAAGGAACCGGTCGGTACTCGTGGCGTCAACCTCCAATACGGGCCTTGCCGAGCTGTCAAGAAGTGTATCTGGCGGGCATGAATCGCGCTCCCGTTTTGACTGAGCCATCATGTGCAAGTCAACGACCCAACACCGCTCAACACGGCAATGATAATCCATCACCCACGCAGCGTTCGTCAAGCACTGCGTACTCGTACAGTACTCGTACAATCATCGTACTCCCGGTATCTGTACAGTACAAGTATAGCACTTGTCATGCTTATGCTTTCTACCCATACCTACTTGTACCTGCACTTGAACGAATCAAGGCGACCCGCAGGTACTACTAGTAGTACTCTAACAGGCCTATCTATCCACTCCAAAGAAAAAAAAGAAGAGAAAAGAAAAAAGAGAAAATTCTGAGCCCTTGCTCGGCTCATCTCGCTCCGGCATGGGATGGGATCCTGCTCCTAGTGGGGAGTGGGTTCCTGGCTGGGATGACTTGATTCGAAGGATGGCCTTGTGCTCACAGGCAAGGGTCGCATTCACACGGTTTTAATTACTAATGTTGGCATGCAATGCACAACAAACATGGACACTGTTGCTGCGTTGCACCGGTTTTGGTGGTACGAGGGCCGGCATAAGCACCCAATTCGGCTCTCCTTCTGGCACATGTCAGGTCACAATTTGCCCCGATGAAACCGGTTTGTGGACAAACAGAGGAGGATTAGGATCCGAAGGGGTGTGACTGCGAGCGAGTGTGTGTGAGAGAGTGTGAGAGTGTGAGAGAGTGCGGTACCTGCACTACCTACAAGCGGCATGTCATGTTGGACCTCGGCGGAGACGACAGGTGACGGTTTCGTCCCATCGGGGCCAATGCAACGCAACGACAATTATGGAGAGTACCAGTGCAAGGTGCATGTGCTTGTACCTGTAATATGCATGTACGCTTGCTAGAAGTCCCCGGGTACGTCTTTTACCCATGCTGGGTGCTAGGTTGGTAATCTGATCGGTGATGCTTCATATTAGTCAGTGGTCAAGAGAAAAGAGCCTGCTCTAGATAGGTAAGGTAGTGTCTATTTTTCTCATCATCATGATATGTACGTTAGGATAGATCGCTTGCTCTTAGAAGGAGACATGGAGGAAACAAGGACAAGATGCAAAAGGTCAACATGACTAGACAAGAGAGCGGTAAGAGATGCGTCGTCAGTTCCACTCAACAGCCTCCAACACGACCATACGCGCCGGAAGAATGCTTTCAAAGCAGATATGCCTGTACAGTACAGTATTCGCGTTTGTACTCGTACAGCACCAGTGCTGATTTGAAATGGATGCGTCTCCGCCCTCCCTCACGAGTCAGAGTGCGCCATCCGAATCTCCCTAGCCGTGTTGTCAATGAACTCTCTCCCTTGCCACAACGCCTCGTCCATGTGCATGAATGGGTGCGGAACTCCGGGGAAGCGCCGCTGCGTTACCTCGACCCCATTCTCGACCAACAGTTGTGCATATTTCTCGCCCTCGTCCCTCAGCGGATCGGCCGAGGCAGTGTAGATGAGCGTGCGAGCCAGGCCCTTGAAGTTTGGTGCCTTGAACAGGTTGTTTTGCCAGCCGATTCGCTCCTTGGCGGCTTTGTGTGCCTCGGGCTCGGTGGGCAGCGTCGACAACTTCAGCTTGTCGAACCAAGCAAGGCGTGCCCAGTTGAGTGTCGGTGCGAACTCGTTCTCTTGCATCGATGGCCAGGGGGAGTCGGCGGCCGTGGCATACTGCGAGATGTCATCAACAACGGGCGTGCCCGCAGCTACCAACCGCAGCGGAATGCCAGCATCGCGGGCCAGATGTGCCACAGCCAGCGCAATGAAACCGCCTGCTGACACGCCGCCGACCGAGATGCTGTCTGGGCGGATGTTGAACTTGGCCGCGCCCTGCTTGTGGACATACTCAAGAGCGGCGAAGCTGTCCGTGACGCCTGTAGGATAGGCAAACTCAGGCACAAGGCGGTAGGCCACGTCGATGACGGCCACGCCGCCCTTTTTGCAGTAGTGCTTGCAAATGTGACTCTCCGTATCCAGATCACCCAAGCCCCAGCCGCCTCCGTGGAAGTCGACATGCACTGGCCACGGACCTGGGCTCTCGGGCTCGTAGACGCGCACCTCCAGCTGCGACCCGTCGGCAAGCGGGATCACGTCGTCGTAGATGCGTCCAACCTCCGGCGCCGCAGCCGTTCCGTAGCTGTAGAGCAGCGAGTAATTGCCTCGCAGCGCCCCCAGGTCGATTGGCTTGAGCGGCTTGGTAGCGACGTTGTCGTTGTAGAGCTTCTCGAAGGCGGGGTCCAGCTTGCCGGCCATGGAGGGGTGGAGGGGCTGGAGAGCCTCGTGCTTTTCGTCGGACGACATGTCGGATGATTTTTCTTCTGTCTCTGGTTTTCGCTCGTAGGCAGCTGTGGGTGGCCAGAGGAAGAAGGGGAAAACTGGTGATTCTATAGCTCGCGAAGATCTCAGGTCCAGCTCCAGCTCCAGCTCCAGCTCCAGCCCCAGCCCCAGCTTTAGCGGCTGCGGCAGCCTTGATCGGAGGTTATTAATATCGACCCCATAGTTGGTGACACATGCCGCGTACTCGATCCGCCGGCACTTTTCCGCGGTTTCCCAAGCCCGTTGAATCCGCGGTTTGGATCAACGCTCTCCCGCCCGCGCATCTCCAGACGCTCAACCGCCTTCTGTTGGTGGACAGGACAAAGGGACATGGCGGGCCTGCTTATCCCACTAATCTGGGAGTATGTAGCGAGTCACGGTCTTGGGGAATTGGTGGAAATCTACTAGGCTTACAGGCTGCTTGCCGGTTGGCTGGTAAGCACACAACTCTTGACGTTTGCAAAGGATGTGGAATCAAGGTACACCTTGTATTAATTTTATAAGTAAAATATGTTTCTTTTCAAGGTATGTCTTATGCAGGCATGTGTATAATCGCTACCTTGAAGGGGAATTGGTGGAAACTTACTACTATAGCCTGACTTGCAGTCGGTTAAGTCGCTTACACCGTCTTTGCGTCTCCTCTCATACCTTTCTTGAGACTATAATGGTGTAATGTTTGCTCAATTTCCCCCATCTCCCTTTTCTTGCATTTCTTTTCTCATAGTCGTACATATCGTAAGCTGTGGGACTGGATCCAGTAGCATCATAGCACCAGTATCTGCCTAGATCTTGCTGCATACCGCGCCGCACGACAACGCATGCTATACTAGAGGGAGTTTAGCGGACTACGTAGTTTTTTGAATGACTGGATATGTTGACGGAGTAATGATAGCTGGATGTGCTGGGGATGAAGTAGATAACTTGGGTAAAAGGTAGTATGCAATATGTTGTCATGACGCCATGGGCCAGTTAGCTGCAGAAGAGCTGCCTAGATCACTATTCTGTGTCTCCAAATTTAAAGTGCTATATCTACCTTTATCAAAACATGGATAATATCAGATACTAGAGGAAAGTAACGATACTAGAGGGACATATGCAGATAACAATAAATAGTAGCAGAGACTAGAAGAAAGTAGAGAGAGTAGCGGATGGTAGCGATAGTGGTGAAAGTAACAGAAAATAATGAAAATATAGGTAGTATAATCAAAGAAGCGTGTACTTACCTAACTACAGTAGTCTCATTAAATAAAAGGTATCTCTGCGTTGGAAGCTGTCGTAGACGTAGGGTCTGCCGCACGGTTTCTAGGAGTACTATACTCAGCGTCGGATGTCTCCTTGCCAGGATTTGGTGGTGCCCGGTCTTGGTTGTTATTTCAGAGAATCTGTGACCTTGGAAGATTTAATCAGAATAGTAGCCTGTATGAAGCATTCAAAAAAAGAAAAGAAAAAAAAAAAAAATCCAAGTCTATGCCCAATTTTGCATCCTACTAATATTCTTTAACAAAACTATGTGTCCCCCGTGTCTGTTCGTGAAACCTTTTTATCAGCCAACAAAGTCTTATGTTTACCTTGTTGAACCTCGCTGAATCAAGCTACAAACAATACGAAATACGAATTTTACCTGTTGTTCACGTATTGAGTCTGTGATTCGCGTCAATACTTACATGAATTCCGGGTAGGTAGAGGGCCTAGTCAGCTGTTGCGGCATGGAATCAAGGGGCTCATATCGATTGGCCAGCTTAAACAGCCCCCAACCTTCACCAAACTGCGCGATTTCCAACCCATCAAACTACCTGAACCTGGCTCAGCCATGTGGCACTAACAGATCAGATCCGCGGCGTGGTCCGGCATCAGCTAATAAATCGACAGCTGCGCGGTGGGACTCACCGCCTGCTAGAAAAGGACCATGCCAGCGAGAGACAAGGAACAATAGTCGATGGGCAGATGGGAAAGTTGTGGTTTGCGCGGCTGGCCGAAGTGGTTGTTGGCCCATGTTCATGCAATGTTACAAACAAAAGATCACCGAATGATCTGTACCATCACTGCAATACGATGAAGCAATATTTGAGAGCATACTCGTCTCATTCGATAAAGTATCTCTCCATCTGCATTGCAGAGTAGGAAAACTTGCCGCGAAAACCCGGCCCCCTAAGACCAGCGGAAGATGAGTTGTGGTTCCACAATTCGTGGAGAAATTGGTACGGTACGAGCACGGTTTTCAATCTTACTGATCCCATTCAATATTTCCTACTCCCAAGCTCTACTAGACTAGTATCTCCCCATTTGGTTGGAGAAGAGCGACCCCCTGAAGAACCAGCGGATGGGACAAAAGCCATGGCTAGAATCCGCCGCACAGTAGCAGTAGAAGTAGAACCACCAACACACCCTTGCTCCATCATGATGCTATGAGGGGCAGAGAGAATAGCTTTAAAAGCGCAACCATAGAAGACGCTTTTCAGAAAAATAAGGAATAAGATTAATTTTCAAAAGGCAGCTAGCTACCCAGCAACTATTATCACTTCAAGCGTTATTCCATCCAACATGAGCGCCAGCAATAAACCCGTGTTAATCGTTGGCGCTGGCGTCGTGGGCTTGACGTTAGCACACGGGCTCAAAAAGGCACATCAATGACATCTTCTCTTTCTTTGGACCCAACATGTGCTAATTCTAAACCCGCTTGGTTCTCTTCTATAGGCCAACATTCCCTTTGAAATCTACGAGCGCGACGAGAACATCGATGCCCGCGGGCAAGGATATGCCATCACCTTACACTGGGTGTTGGAGTACTTGAAACAAATTCTTGACCAGGAGACCCTTGATGCCATAGACGGTGTCCAGGTTGATCCAGAGATCGGTCGCAACGACAATGGCAACTTCATGTTCATCAATCTTGAGACGAAAGAGGCCAAGTTCAAGATCCCTCCCAACCACCGTCGTCGCGTGAACCGCGAAAAATTTCGAAAAGTCTTGCTCAAGGGAGTCGCGGAGAAAGTCCACTGGAACAAGAAGCTGGCAGACATCCAAGTGTCCGATAATGCTAGCGATGGGGTCACGGCCATCTTTGCAGACGGAAGTGAGGCCCAGGGGAGAATGCTCGTTGGCGCCGAGGGCAGCAACTCTCAGACGAGAAAGTTCCTCGTGCCAGACGCCCATCAGAACTACCTGTTGCCCGTCAAGATGATTGGCGCTTCTGCCGACTTTACTCCCGAGCAGGTCGCGCCGCTCCGAAGCATCGATCCACTGCTCTTCCAGGGCAGCCACCCAACGACGGGCGTCTTCCTCTGGATCTCTATGCTCGAGACGCCAGAGGTGAATGGCACAGCAGGGACTGCCAACGAACGCTTCCGCGTGCAAGTTATGCTCTCATGGATGGACAAAGACAGGGACGAAGTCATCCCGGAGGCAAACCAGGACCGCATCGCCCTGATGAAGCGCCTGGTTGACGGTTTCCACCCTGATCTGTACAACACCATACAGGCCATTCCCGTATCTTCGCCCACCCTCCACCTCGTCCTGCAAGACTGGCCCTGCCAAGACTGGAACAATCACGACGGCCGAGTGACTCTCGTGGGTGACGCCGCACATGCCATGGTCATGTACCGCGGCGAGGCTGGCAACCACGGCATTCTGGACGCCTGGCATCTGTGGGGCGAGATCAAGGCGGTGTATGCGGGCGACAAGACCGGAGCTCTGGCTGTTTCTAATTATGAGGCGGAGATGAAGGAGAGGACCAAGCCAGCCGTATTATTGAGTCGGCAGGCATGTTTGGATGCACATGACTTTAACGGCTTGAATAAAGATTCAGCGGTGCTCAAGGTGAGAGCTATCAAGGCGTCGGCCATTAAGGCGTGAGCCGGGAGGAAGATTGTGGATATTGGATCATGTATGAGTTTATGATGTGTGATTTATTGTTCTGTGAAAAATAATTGGTTTATTCTGTTATTCTGCTATGCAAAATGAACACGTCGAGGAATTCCCGCAAAACAGAAATTGTCAATCCGGCGGTTCTGAACTGGTTTCGCTTTACCGAAATGTTCTATATGCAACCCAAGAGCCTGGAATCATTACACGATTCCAGTTACCGCTCCTCACAGCCGGTAGCAGCCAATTTTCTCAGTAGGTCTGATATATTTCGACAAAATCCAGGTCCCCAGAGCTACAGGTAGTTACTCCAAATATCATTGCAGGGTAGCTAAGTGTTGGCACGTTTTCATCTCGGAAGAAGATGTGAAGTGATTATGTATTATTGTATTGTGGATTATGGGGTATATGAAAGCGAAGAAATCTTTGAGTCCCGGGATTTTAATCCACTGATCTTGTAAAAGTGTCCCTTTAACAAGGGGTCATATTGGCTGAAGTTGAAGTACCATATTACGGAATAGACACTGATCTCTTGCTACCCGGCTCATGCAATTATCTCACCGACAACGGCCGGTCAAATGAACTGACAGGGGCGCCATTGCCCATTATTCTACGTCAGCGGTGTTCCTCCCCAAATTTGCTCCAGACTAATTGGCGTTGATGGCACTAAATCTACGCCTCTTTCAAAGCTTAATACAGAGTCTGTGATGCCATCTCGATTCTTTAGTTCACACCACACTAGACTTTTTGCGAGGCTTTTGACCTTTCGATCTTGGTGATGATCCATGACGCAAATGCCGAAAGCGTCCTTCTGAAGAAACTCTAAAGACACAATGAGCTTGGCAATGTAAAAGGACGGGAGTATCCCTCCTTAGTGTATTCAGACTTCATTCGCCTCTTAACGGCATCACGTGTCAAAAGAGAACGAAACAAAATAAGAACAATTTACAAGGCCAGAGTGCTGAAACGAGATCAATTGCCATCAAAAATGAAGGACAAGAAGGAAATCATCCAGGAGTTCAACGAACTCGTCAACATGACGGCGAAAGAGTTGAAAGAGTGGCTAAAGGGCGATGACTCTACGAGTGCCGGCCAGGCGAAAGAAGACGGCAATGGAGAATCCATTGGTCATGATAGCGGTCGAAAGATTGTTGAGATTCTTGAATCCAACCCAGACAAGGATCCAGAGAAATACACAGACGATGACGTTAGTCATATGAGGAAGGTTGTGTCTTACTGGTATGCCCTCACTTTGAGACACTTGTCTTGGGGAATTTACAGAGACTGATGAAACCTACTCAGCAAACGACACCTGGCTCAAGAAGAAAAGGCGAATAATGCAAAGCCTGTTGAGGAAGTGAAAAAGACCAAATCGTACGCGTCGCTCAAGAACTGGGGCCACGATCCTATCAAGAAGCGCGAGGCAAATGGCGCTGGTGCTGAAGGTGAGGAAGAAGAGCAACAGGAGGAGGATGAACAGGAGGCAACGGGAGAAAAAGCAGGGGAAAAACGAAAGGCACACGATGACCAGTCTGGGAAGAGCAAGAAGAGAGAAACGGAGGATGGCGCCGCTGAGATACAGGACGACGACAGGACGGAAAAGCAAGCCGAGGAGGCTGAGGAGGAAGCCTCAGACGAGCAAGAGTCAAAGAAGGGTCAACAAAATGGAAAAGAGGCGGGAAACGGGGACAAACCAAAGGCTCCTGAAAAGGGAGACACGGTGAGCTGGAACTGGGGCCAAGGCCAACCTGAGGGAAAAGTGAAGGAAGTGAATCCTGGAGAGTAAGTCGTAACCATTGGTGTTTAGCAACCATCCCATCTGGCCGCCCCGGAACTAACTGGAGAGCAGGACCACCATCGAGACGAAAAAAGGAAGCAAAGTCTCACGAAAGGGCAATGAGGAGGACCCTGCTGTTGTGCTTGACACAGGCAAGTCTGAGGCGGTTAAACTGAGCCATGAGCTGAATGAGACGGAGCAATGATTGTGTCTCTGTGCCATTGGCTGGAGTAACCAGAGTCGATGTTGTTATTGTATCTACCATATAGAAGTTGGTAGAATGTTCTGGACAGTTTTAACAACATTGAAGACAAAGGATTGTCGGCCAATGGATTTTCCCCCTTCAAATGTATCCATGAATGCATCTTCAATGTTTCACTCTTCTCGATTTGTGCGCCTCCTATAGCGCCACCTTAGCGGACGTTACAGTGGGGATGCTCGGTGGAACACAGCGGGGTACAGCTCTGGACGGCTGATAAACATAAACGAGGCGTCATCCGTTCAAGGCCGAGTTCAGTTCTCTGGCCTTTGTTCACCTGGCAGCTCTTCCTCGTGGAGGCCAGCTGCTGTCAGACGGCGCCTGATTCCCGTCTTGCTGTGTTTTGCTTCTCTCTTTTCTGCCTCAGCATGCGGCTTGAATTGTAAAGTCTCCAGCCATGAAGACTTGAATCCATCATGTAAGAACGAGAGAGAAAAGCGCCGTCCACGCAACGCAACGCAAAGGGAAATGCTCCGATGCTAACCACCATCTTGTCTTCACAGGATCGAGCCTTCGATTCGATTGCGGCGTGCGATCCACGCCGGCGACGCCCTGCTGGTGAAGCGCATCCTCAAGTCCCATCCGTCCCTTCTCCATAACCCCGACGTCTCTCCAGTTGGGCTCTCCAACTCTAACATGCATCTTGCCGCCTCTCTCGGCCACAAGGAAGTCTGCAAGGTGCTCCTCGATGCCGGCCATGAAGACCCTTGTCCTGCCCTCAACGAGAATCACCAGACTGCCCTTATGCTTGCCTCGGGTGCCGGACACACAGAGGTCGTTCACTTGCTGTGCGAAAACGACTCGGACTGCATTCTACGAAGAGATATTCGCGGCCGGGATGCGGTCATGGAGGCCAGCGGCGGCGGCCACGACACCATACTGCAACTTCTGTTGACATATGTCCCCGGAGGACCGTACGAGGCAGTGCAGAGAGCAGATGCGGAGGGGAACACGGCTCTTCACTTTGCGAGCGGTAACGGCAACCTCTTGGGCCTACGGACATTACTCGCCGCCGGTGCAGATGTCGAGAGGCGCAACATTTGGAACTGGACGCCCGCTGCGTACAGCGCCACAGTGCAGGCCGAAGTTTATCTCAAGGGCCTGGTGTCCGAGGTTGGAAGACTTCAGCAACAACAGCAGAAACGGAAGAAGGAGAGCGAGCCCGTCAAGAAGATGGCTGTTGGTAGTGTCAGAGTAGTAAACAGTGATGAGGACGAGCGTTACGACATTTGACGAAATGATGTTTTCATCTCTATGGGGAATGGCATGGCGAGCTGTAAAGATTTGTCTTGAAGGAAATACGGGTTGCAGGCAGAGCTACATCCATGAATTGCGAATGCTTTGTGCGTTTTGATGCATTGTCTTGATCGTCTTGATCGTCTTGCTGGAGCTGGAGCTGAAGCAAGGCCTTGCTGTTTTATCTGAGTCACAGTCCCAATTGAGGAGTTTGATGCGCAATAAAAATCTGGAAATAGAGCAACAAAACTCGTCTTCTAGCACTTGCTTGTCCTGTCAGTAGTTAGTAATCAGAATCTGTGCTGTTATACGAGTAGGTACATGTAGTAGAGGAAGGCCATCAAGTTGATACGGGCCGGACTTAGCAGCTCCAGTATCAACACATTTCCGACTGCCGCGAAATACGGTTTTCCTACCACAAGACGCATCCTAAGTCCATTCGAGCGCCGTGTATATCCTCACACTGCAGAAATTATAAAAAGCTGGACAGAATGGACGTTGAGAAAGAACAAGACAAAAAGAACAATCCAATCCTTCTGGCCAACCACAAGTGTCGATAACACATCATGGCGACTATTCTCATCACGGGAGGAAATCGAGGTATCGGCTTCGGCATCGTCCAGGCCATCGCACGCAGGATACCTTCTTCCACCATCATTCTGGGCTGCAGAAGGCTTGTGACTGGCTACGAGGCAATCGATCAGTTGCGAGAACAGGGCATCTCATCCAAACTGGATGCAATTCAGATTGACATTGAGGATATCCAGAGCATCACTACAGCTGTCGAGGTTCTGGGTCAGCGATATGGAAAGCTGGACGGTGAGTACATGTATATCGAGATATCCACTTATGCCTTATATGCAGAATACTCCGCTTATGCAAATTGTCATCTTCTTGCCAGTGCTCATCAACAATGCCGCAAGTCTTCAGCTGCCCAAAACTGAGGATCTTGCCGAGCTGAGGGACTGCTCCAACCTCAACTTCAACCGCTGTGTCACATCCAACATCCTCGTGACCAAGGCGTTTGTCCCCCTTCTGAGGAAGAGCTCCTGGCCAAGAGTCATCATGAACTCTAGCGCCAGAGGAAGTCTCGGTCGCACAGCAAGCAGAGAGGTACGCGAGTTTTTATGGTCAAACACGAAGCGAGGCAGCTATTTGCTTTGGTACAAACTGTTTGCTAACGTCACATACAGCTTCCGCCCGTGGCTCTGATCGACTACTGCGTGTGCAAGGCCGCGGTGAACATGCTGACGCTGCATTATCAGATAAACGAAGACAACTACAAGGACAGTGGGGAAAAGATCACTTTCTGGAGTGTTAGCCCGGGCCACACGAAGACGGCTTTCAACAACTTCAAGGGGAAGAAGGATCCTGTGGACAGTGCCGAGGCATTTGTGCGGCTGCTGGAGTCTGAGAAGGGAGCCATTGAGCCGGGTTCGTTTTGGGAATTCGAAGCAGGAACATTCCAAGTCGTCCCTTGGTAGGACTTGGTGAGGCTCTTCATCGCTTGTGGATCTCCCGATGGGCCATGCATGCGTCTGTGGATCATCTCCTCGGCTGAAGACTGATTCAGCTTCTCCAATAGACAATATTTATGCGATGTCAACTAGGTGCAGTCTGCAGGCCACAGCCCGGCCTTGGTCTTGGTGTTATTTTTATCGTGTTATATGTATGTGCCCAACCTGAGGGGGAGGGAAGCCCAGGTTTGCTGTGGAACAGGTCGGCCACGTCTCTGGATGCCCATCAACGTGGCATCCACGTATGACGGCTCTCATTGTGCGGCAAATGAGAGCGCAAGCACGCACTTTACTTGTTGCTGGCTGATTGGATAAGGGTAGTCTCCCTGTCATCTTCGCATCGTTGGGCATTCGACCCCATCCACGCCCACCAGGCATCCTGTCCGTGATTCACCGCCAGCACAGCTCCAGCTTGTCTGGGCACAAACCAGTTTCTAGCATCAAACAAAATTCGCTTGTTCACCACCAAGCTTTGGGTTCCGTCACCGAAGTGAATCATGGCATACCCAAAGGTACATTAACAGACAGTTCCTGACGAAGAATCAGGGATAGGGCACCCTCTCCTCTTCTATTCTAGCCTTCAACAAGAGACAACTACGCTCATCCGTTTGAAGAAGCGAACAAAATCATTTGCCTTTAACTGCTCCATTTCTCCCTGCTGGCCGTGTTCCACCGGCCGCAGCGTATACCACATCATCTATGCCCAACGCTCCTCGCGTGACCCGTAGGACGATTCCCGTCGCGCCTGGCCAGCTTCCGGCGCCCGCGACTAAGCTCGTTATCACTCAAGTAGTTCAAGCCAGTCAGGATTCTCCATTCCGGGCGTTGATCACCGTGGGGGCGTTTTACAATAGCGACGATCAAATTATTTGGAGCACAGAGCAGTTTGTTGGCTACCTTGGCGTTGAGTCTGAGCTGAGCGAGGAACAGGCTTCCGAAGCGGAGGAGGAGGAAGACACGGGGCGTGAGTTTGAGGCTGAGCCTGAAGCTGAGACAGAACAAGAAGCCGAAGCTACGCCTGAGCCTAGTTCATCACCCGGTACGTTCGTTAATCACAGTTGGTTTATGGTCTCTGAGTCGCCTTTATCGAAGCCTGTATAAGCTAACTCCTATACAAGTTCATTCTCCAGCAGCTCATCAATTTGTCTCTCCCAGATCTCGAGCTCGCCGTCGTCGTGAACCATACAGACAGCACCCGATCGGAGCATTCCAAGGCTATAATAACCGCGAAGCAGCCTTCTCTCCCTACTTGCTTTTGCACCATTCTCATCTTCGCCCCCAGTTCCACCCTCACTCCCTCCCTCATCGCTTTCCTCACCCCTCTACTCAGCCATATCCGCACTACCATTGTCATCACCATCACGCTCAGCCCAGTTTCCCGGCGCCGCCATCTTTCGTCAACCCACCCGCCGGCTGGAATCCGGTCTACTCTGGCCCCGTCCCAGGACATTGGCAAGCATCTTTCCAACCCAACGTCGGACGCTGGGTTCATACTTGGCAGCCTCGGCCGTTTGATATACCCTTTCGTTAGCTTCTACTCTCACTAGCTTTCAACTAACTACGGAAATGTCTGGGGGTTGGAATCCGCTGACAGGCCGCGACTCCGGCTCCGGCCGGCCCGCCTTTGCTCCGTACGGAGCCCCTCAGCCGGCCCAAGGCCAAGCATACATTCCTCATGCTGGCGGGCCCGGCTACACCTTCGGTACGGTGCCTCAGCAGAGCAGTTGGCCTAACATGACTTATGGATACTATCCTCTAGCCGCCGCTCAAGGGATCCCGCAGTATGCCGTGCCTGGAGCCGGCTATACTCACGCCCAGGGACCGGTAGGCGGCTTCTACACACAGCAGACGTTTTCCTACCAGCCCAACGGCACGGGAAACATGTTCCCTCGCCAGCCTCAGCCATATCCTAATATCGATCCAACCATGCCGGCCGCCCAGATGACGAACACAACTGGAGGCACGGGCTGCGAACCGGGCTACAACTACTTCTTTCCCGCTGAGCACACAAAAGCTCACGTCTTCAAGACAAACACGCCTCCCTGGCAGCTTCCGCCCACCGCACAGATCCCCTTCAAGGCAGCGCACATCCCGTGCAACACCACCATGGCCGAGCTGCTCAAGGGCTTTGGCTGCACCAACGCAACGCCCAAGAAGAACAAGTGCTTCGAGGTTGTCAGCGGAGGAGGCGGCAAGTGGTACAAAGGCCTGGAAGTCAACGGCGCGGATAAGGACATGTTGAAGAAGACGATCAAGGACGTGGGATGGGATTCCACGAGGACTGGCAATCCGAATGAGAAGCCTGTTGTTTGCCTGTGGTTCTGCAGAGATTGATTGCGCATAATCGTTTACTTTTGTCTCTAAGTCGCTCATTATTTTTTCTCTCCTTTGTTTGGGATGGTTATTTAGGTGTTCATGATTATGGTCTCACTCACTCGATGGGTGATATGGGAAAGTAACCTCGGTGGTTCAGCATTTAATGTAACTACAATTTGAGTCGATTTAATGTTCTTTGAACAGTATATGCTTGTGAAGCTGCCTGCATAAATGACATACGGGTGCTAATATAAGCCTACTAATCGACGGTTTTAGTCTCAATAATATCAAGGACCCTGGTTGTCTCGGCTCTTGACAAAATTATTGAAATGCGTTTACTTGTCAAATATTTTTATAGAGGTATGATATGCCCTCTCTATATTGGATCTGGAAGCATGCCATAATATCGGCGCCATCAGATGAGTCCACAGATTCATGCACGGTGTTGGCGCGGCTGGCTAGCAAGGAGCATAGAACTTACTACGAGTGTCAGAGGCAATGCAGGGTGGTAGATACTCTGACGTATTTTCTCTAGTCTTAGTTCTAGAACGTATGTTTATCATATTATCATTCCTATTAGTCAAGGCGTATATCTATCTTATCTGCAGGCATGGATCGAACACATGAGAGGGGGAGAAGCTGAACAAAGCTGTATGAAGAACTGCTGTACACACTACCCTATAAGGAAAACATTATGTTTTAGCAAGCATCACACAGGTGTGGCTTTGTAGGCCTGGTGTGAGTCATGTAGAATTACTTTGCAAAACATACAAATATACAACAAGACGACAATCCCCTATCTTGTAAAGCTTCAAAGACTACATGCAGACACTTATATAATAGCTTTTACAGATATGCTACTGTACTCTTTCAGGTGGAGATATATGGCATGAAGCATCTACTGGTAATTTACAGTGCGTTATTTAACCGATCACTTGTGCAGTGGCTCTTGCAGAATTGCAAAAGATTAATGCAAAGCTGTCCACTATGCAACAACGGTCAGATCTTCCCCTGAAAGTCTTTCTCGTATTTTTCCACACAGCAAACCGTCTCTGCACAGCTAAAATACATCCATCATCACATCCTTGCCCCCATGATAGCCCCTGATGCAGAGTGGCTATCCCAAGAGAGAGATGTGAAGAAAACAATGTCCTTTATCTGCTTCTTCGACTCGGTTATTGAATCGATGCGGGTATAAGATCGAAGTAGCGCGAGTCCAGTCTATGTCGAGAATATAAAGATTAGTTGAACATAAGTTGAGCATAAGATTCATTACCCAGAACGTAAGGTTATTCTGAAATTTTCAAAATCTCTGGTAATACACAAACAGAGTACAACTAGAAAGAGGAACAGGGAATTGATCTTGGAAGAGGACTACACAGACAGGATGATGCGATGCCAGCTCATCTCCCGACATACGTAAAACTCGAATGAAATTAGCAAACTGTAATGTCCTCCGACCTCGCTTGCTTGATGCCATCTTCGGCCCCCTCCTGGACAACTCGCCATGGTTTCGCGCGTGTTAGTCGTGCCCATGATGACTCTCATACGAGGCTATTCCACTCGGAAAGTCTGGATCCAGACCACCTGCACGCCAAGGTAGGGAATTTGGATGCCTAAAGACTATATCCAATAGCTCACCACCTTGGCGGTTTCAACACACAGCAGCATGATCCGAGTCTTGGGGGCTAGATCTTGTCACCCCTTGTTGCGTGCTCTATAAACGCCTAGTACAGCAAGCCCTGTGGGGTGTGACAGAGTCGACATGTCCTTCATCACGATGCAAGTGCCATCTATGTGGGTGCTGTGCCCCAAGCCTATCCTTAACCACATGTCTCGTGTTGGCAATAGTTTTTTGATAGCAGGCATCAACATTATCACGGCTGCCACTGGTCCAAACTAGGTCCCCAAGGCGGGTCTATCTTCATGCCCCGGCTCGGGCAAGGATAGAACGTGGAGCTGAATGGCTTCGAGAGCGGGCGGTCTAACATGAAGCTAGCAGCATGGCGTGTGGGGGAGCGGCGAGACGGCTAAGCAAAGGTGGCGAGTGAGGAGGGTGAGGCAAGTTTAGGCGTGGCGTGTGTCGACAGGAATAGCAGAGCCATCTCCACGAATTCCCCAGAGAAATCTGACCATCGAGAGACTTTGTCGTCCATGATGAGTGTAAAAACACTAAACAACAGCTCTAAAGCAACAAATTAGCATTACTGTACTTGTACTAGAGGTGTGCTAGTCGCCACTATTTTCAATCACGATGCTGAAATTCGAATACGGCGAGGCCGAAATGCTGGCTTGTGTGTAAGTGAAGTAGCTTTAGTCGAATATTCAAATTGCTTAGTCTGTTTAGAGACAGCGCGGTAAGTTCTACTCCAAAGTATATGGATGCCAAGTTGAAGAATGGCGTCTGGAAAAGGCGGTAGGGAAGGCCATTGTAGGTACTCCTGCATTGATACTACATATCGGAAGTTTTGCCGATTTGAACTTGCAAACCTCCCATCTCTGCAGATGTGAATCGCAGATTCAACCTGTCAGTCAGACTGCAACAGCGTCTCAGCTTTGTCAACTATACTGATTTGGATGAGATCTACGACATTGGATAGCACCGTTGGATCTGGCTTTGATACCATACAATGAAAACGTGTAAATAGACCCATCCGGATGGAGGCCTGCCATGTGGAGACACCTGTGCAGAGTACGGACAAAAGCAAAAGCAGCTTGTACCTGCTTGATGGGCCAATTCCGAAAGTGCTGGCAGTAACAACTGATCCCTTGATTCGGCTGGCTCATGTACATGCATGCGTGACTTCAGTTGCTGGGGTCGTCCGGCGTAACCGCGTGCTCTCCTCAAATCAGGGTGCCAAAGCGTCGACATCGATATATTGTCAGCTGGTGGCTTGATAGCCCAGGACTCCTAGATGGATAGGCGTAACTTGGGCGGTAGAGAGCAGAGAGCGGTCGAACACGCCCACTATCGGTCACTTCTAATCCAGCTGTCAGGTATAATGTAATCCTCCTTGTTCACATCTGGCAAGCATGCAGGATTGTCCATTGTTTCTCCACCCAATAGCCAGCATCTGCTGCAGCGCTAGCCGACGCAAGAACCCCGGTGATTCGGAGTTTTTGATTGACGGACCTCCTCTTGCTCCTCCTCTCTCTCGGCGACGATCAGGCAGCAGAATTAATTTTGTGGAAGCATCTCCACCTGACTGTTTTAGCAGCTCGAGAGCTGGTAAGGATCGGCCAATGTCAGCTTGTGCGGATTATTGTGTACGAGTACGAGTAGACCGGACTTTTGACTGCTCAAGCCCAATTTCAGCCACTCGGTGGTTGTAGAAGGGCGAACAATAGACACTCATGGCTCGTGGTCGATAAACAGGTAGTCGTTTGGGTGAGCTTGCGGTAGATGGTATATCGATTCTGATCTCTGCTACCATGGCGCCACGCTAGATAAGAAGAGAGTCGGGTTTTCTGCAAGGCGCCGAGAAGCGCTAGCAGCAAGGCGAGAGCTGGTATGAGTGCTCTCTCTCTGCGGCTAGCAAAGTCCGCGTACAAGTCTTCACTCTATCAAGCTGGGCTTCGGACTAGCCACCACGTTGCCCATGGCCTGAGATTTGGCGCGCGGGATGAGTTCGCAAGTGGACACTAGTGCCACGGCTCTCTTCGCATGCCGACGCGCCCCCAATTGCATCCAGTGAGAATCTGAGGAATTCTGTTGCCTGGCATCTCGCTAGCCAAGACTGCTGATCCCGGGCCTGGCAACTGATTCAGTGGCCCAAGTTTCCACCTCTGCTTACTTTGTATGTAGTACGAGTATGTGCTCTCGGCCCTCGGTACGGTACCTAGACACATACGAGATGGGCGTCTTTGGTCTTGTCGGCGTGAATTGCTTGCCGTATCGGAGCTGATGATGGCCTACTAGAGTGATTCCATTGCTCCTAACGGGCGCCGGATCCGTCGATGTCGAGCGTGGTGTTGTCGCCACTAGCTGTACTTTGCTTGTTCTGGCCTTTAGGTTCTAGGCCATCGCCATGGTTCGATGCTTTCGACTGATGGCACATGCATCCGGCATATCAAAAAAATGAAGAGGAGTTCGGAGTAGCTGAGTTGGAGAGGGTGGAGTTTGCAGAATGCAATGCATGGAAGTGGAAGCTTGGACTGAGGGCACCAATTGCGCTAAAACGTACCAAATACCTTGGCTGACGCAGATCTGATGCTGCAAACGAGGTACTGTGCACCTCCAACACCTCCAACAGATCCAAGGGGAGAGACAGCACAGCAAAAATTGCCGGACGCGGGCGTGTTGGCCTTCTGCTGCGAATACAGGACAAGTCAACGAGTCGGACCGAGACTGTGTCAATTTCGATCGGCACAAATATACAGCATTCAAAACCAAGACCTCCAAGGTACTACTTGTACAAGGTAATGGATTCCATGTTCTTTGACCAGGTACATTCGTCTCGTACGAGTCTACTGTAGGTGCTGCACAGACACCTGCAGGGTTGCCCTGTAAAAGACCTACGGGAGTTGCTCCCACCTACGTCAGGAGACGGCCGGCTCATCTTTTAGGGGCCAATTACAGCGCTGTCCAGGGGTGTCTCCAGGGCCCACAGTGGCCAAACGGCTTGGAGTTCCCACTCTCGACCTCCAGAGCTAATCCAAGACAAACTATCCATTTTCAACCACCTCAGCACGAAAGCAAAGGGGGCTTGTCTTTCCCATGGGGAACTGGAGATTCTCCTCTATTGTCCTGTCTGGGGGTGCGGGGGACACCCTGGAGATGTTTCCCTGATTGGGGAATCTCAGCATGGCCGGTCTTACACACAGCAGGCTTTGAAGAGGGCTGGACCTGGAGATTTGGCTTCATCAGGACGTTGGCTGGCATTGATCATCTACAGCTGTTGGCGGGACATGAAGATCATCCAATTGCTACTCTGCGTGATACAGGTACGTGCCATTCGCGTCCGTGCTGCTGCAGCCGTACATACAAGTACCTATGCTAAGATTGACCGGTGTGGTAGCAGTAACACAAATGAAATTTCTTCATCCCTGATCACGGCTCCGGGCGTGGGAAATGGCGCTACTGCGAGACAAGCTGCCATAATCCACCTATACAACATGATAAACGCATGAGTCGTACTCTCTACGGCTCTTTGCGTCCGTCTTCCAAGCTTCGGTCCCCACGCCACCAACAGATGCCATGCGACTAGCATCTCCTCCAGCCACGAGTGGGCCGGACCAGGATAGGCCTCAATCCTGGCTTGGACCATGTTGCTCAACTGACTTGGATGATGGCCAATGTACTCGTACCTCCACAATGCCATGGTCCAAGGCGTTTCCGGCGTCCTCAGATCGCGGGGATGACAACGAGTATCCAGCTGGAGCCCAATGTTAGCCGTGCGCGACAAACACTCAAATAGCCATTGATCTCCGCCTCCGGATTCCCATTTTCGTCTCACTTCCCCAGCTCACCTCAAAGGAGTATAATAAACCTCCTTGTCCCCTCTGTCTTGACTTCGATTGTCTCGACACTTTCAACTTCTTCAGCTCGGAAGCAAGATCCCTCTCTTGTCTCTTTTGCCTACACCAATCGAGCCTGCAAGAGAAAGTCATCTGCGGACTGATCCGCCTATCCGTCACAATGTCGGGAGTATAGTCAGTCACCCCTATTTTTGGCACACCTTCTTCCTATGTCAATCCATACACTAACATGTTTTGAAACAGCACCCACACCGAATCCAAGGGTGTCAATGAGACATCCATGGAGAAGGGAGTCTCATACCACGAAGAACAAGACTATTCCCAGAACCTCCAGGCGAGAATTCGCAACCCGCTCAAGGGAATCCCCCGCGACCAGCTTATGAGCGATGTCGAGGCCTTTGCTCAGCGTAACGGGCTTCAGGAGCACACTCTTCTTCTCAAGAAGGGCGCGCTTATTGCCCAGAACCCTGCCGAGCCACATGCCATTGATGGCGACGAGAAGCTCACTGCACACGAGTTGAACATTCTGGAGCGTGAAATTACTCACAAGTGGCATATGCCCACCAGACTCTTCCTCACCATCGCAACATGCTCCATCGGTGCCGCCGTCCAGGGTTGGGATCAGACTGGTAGTAACGGAGCTACCATTTTCTGGCCTGATGTTTATGGCATTGGTGACCAGAGCATTACTCGTAACGCTATTCTCGTCGGTCTCATCAACGCTGCTCCCTACATCGGTAGCGCGTGAGTTCTCCTTCGACATAATCAACCCAGAATATAGCTAACTCGTCTGTAGTTTCATCGGCTGCTGGCTCTCTGATCCCATCAACAACCACTTCGGTCGACGTGGTGTCATCTTTTTCGCTGCTCACTTCTGTATCTGGCCCGTGATTGGTTCTGCTTTCTGCCACACCTGGGGACAACAGCTTGCTTGTCGATTGCTCATGGGTATTGGTATGGGTGCTAAGGCTTCAACGGTCCCCATCTATGCTGCTGAGAACGCCCCGGCTTCCATCAGAGGTGCTTTGGTCATGTCATGGCGTACGTTCATCACCCTTGCAAATATGAAACATAATTTTTACTAACATAGTTTGCTAGAAATGTGGACTGCCTTTGGTATCTTGCTCGGAAGCGCCTTCAACCTGGCTGTCTACCACGTTAAGGATATCAACTGGCGTCTGATGCTTGGCGCTCCTTTCATCCCTGCTGTCCCTCTCCTTGCTCTCATCTACTTCTGCCCCGAGTCGCCTCGTTGGTACATGAAGAAGGGCCGCTACGCCGATGCCTGGAAGTCCCTTGTTGTCCTCCGCAACGACCCCATCCAGGTGGCCCGAGACATCTACTACATCTCCGCCCAGCTGGAAATTGAGAAGGAACTCATTGGCAAGACCAACTACATCACTCGATTCACTCAGCTCTTCACCGTCCCCCGAATTCGCCGTGCCAACTTGGCTGCTTTCACTGTCATGATTGCTCAGCAAATGTGCGGTATCAACATCATTGCCTTCTACTCGACCACTGTCTTTGTCAACGCCGGTTTCACTCAATTCCGAGCCCTGATTGGTTCATTTGGATTCGGCCTCGTCAACTGGCTCTTTGCCTTCCCCGCTTTCTGGACCATTGATACTGTAAGTTGTGCAACTGAACGACACGGATATTTGATGGCATTATTCTAACAACCGCATAGTTTGGTCGCCGAAGCCTGCTTCTCTTTACCTTCCCCCAGATGTTCTGGACTCTCTTGGCTGCTGGTCTCTGCACTTTGATCTCTTCAGAGCACAACGAGCTCCGAACTGGTCTTGTCAGTCTTTTCGTCTTCCTTTTCGGAGGTGAGTACATATCAAAAAAGCTGCCCCTTTTATCCCAAGAACCATGACTAACTCGCAGTCTAGCCTTCTACTCCCCTGGTGAAGGTCCCGTTCCGTTCACATACAGTGCTGAGGTTTATCCCCTGTCTCACCGTGAGACTGGTATGGGCTTCGCTGTCGCTACTTGTTTGTTCTGGGCTGCCGTGCTCGGTACCTCATTCCCCTTCCTGCTCGAGAAGCTCCAGACTGTTGGTGCTTTTGGCCTGTACGCCGGCTTCAACGTTGTTGCTTTCATCATGATCTTCCTCTGGGTGCCCGAGACTATGCAGCGCACTCTCGAGGAGCTCGACTATGTCTTTGCCGTCCCTGTTCGCACTTTCATGAAGTACCAACTCACCGTTGCCCTGCCCTGGTGGTTCAAGAAGTACGTCTTCTTCCAGTGGAGCGCGACTAAGCCTCCTTTGTACCAGTTCGACAATGTCGCTTCTGACCTCCGCCGGGCGTCTATCCACCACGCCGCCACGGCTTCGTCGGACGACGAGAGCAAGCGGGCTATGTAAAGAGGGGAGAGAAACGAATTTTATGAATTTATTTTGGTAGCAAGGGTGAATATTGGATTTTGAGTATATTAATTGGTTACCACACAGATGGGTAGTGTGTTACTGGGAATTGATACCCTTTCCCTTATGGTTATGATATGATATAAGGGGATTATTAAGAATATATGAACTTCCCTATTTCTCAAACTTGTCGTCTTGAATCATTTGAGTAATGATCATTGTCTCTTTGAAACCATGAATCGCGTAGAATCTCTAGAACTGTGTTCTCTGCAAAAAAAAGTTGCTATTCAGTACACTAAGTTGGCTTTCCTGCATTCGGTGCCCCAAATTTCATACGTTAGGTCTCCTTATAAGAGCATATACTAGAGGTATGTGGTACCAGATATCACAAAGAAGTAGCGATACTAAAATAAAAATACCGGGTAGCGATACTCGTAGGCATTCCCTCTACATCTCGTCACGATACTGAACTGTGATTAGTCGCTGGGGTATTACTTAGCTACGCCCTTTCTGTAAATTTTGAATGAGCAGACCGCAGAAGTAAGACCACGTGGAGAGCTTGGCTAAATTGCTTAACCGAGGCTGGCCAACATTCGTATTTCCATGTGATTATGATAAAGGTCAGGTAGCTAAGGATTGGAATAATTCGTGACATGGTGACTGACTTTAAAACCTTCTTCAGTATACCTACATATGGATGTCTTTAGGCTGTAGGGAGCGGTACATCTTTCTTCCCGCGCATGACAATCGACTTCTAATCCAGCCGATCTAGCATGGCCGTAATGAGGCCTGCGGGAAACTCAGGCAACGTTATCATAAGATCTTGGAACTCAGCGACATTCCATAATTCTTCCACCTTACATGCAGCATACAAGCAGACAAGTGATCTCAACGGATCGGCCTGTTCTCCCCTATCAACAGTTTCATTAAAACAATATCTCACGAACCGAGCTATATCGCCACAGCCTCCGGCATGGAGTTTGAACTGAATCAATGCCTGGCGTAGTTTATGGAGGGCCAGGGTCTGCAAAGCTTCTATTCCATAATAGTCTGCGAAGGTATATATCCGTGCATGACGGAGGAGCACATCGTTGTAGTCATCATCTGGTCCGTTAGGACGCAACGAAGGGCTGGGAGCTGTTGGTAATGGATGGAGCTTCTGAAATTTGTTCCACAACGTGTCTTTTTTCTTAATCGGAACGGGAGGCTTGCCCGCACCCTTCTGTCGTAGTAACATATGATTCAAGTGCGGCGGCATTGTGTTCCATTCGGTAAGTACAGCCTTATCATGTTCGGTTGGACATGGCGTGACCAATTCGGCCTCACGCTTCTTGGGCTCTGCTTCGTCGTAGTTCCCTGTGTATACGTATTGGCTAAAACGAACAAAAGTTTCCTCATCTATCTCTTCCCATATGGCTTGCCGTTCTGTGGCCTCTTTCATCCGCCCATTGACGAGTGTGTTCAAAGCTTTGGACTGATGCGCGACGAGGGCAGAATGAATCGTATGTTCCTTCCGATCTGGGCCGACAAGAAACGTAAAGGGAGGTGAAGAGGTAATACTGACTAGATCAGCTCGCGTTTTGTAGCAACAACATCACAACTTACCTTCCGTAGGGCAAGGAAGCCATTGTTAACGAGTGGGACGATAGGTACGGGGAGTGGTTAGAATTCACAAGGAGCATACGGGAGGCGAGGTTGCATGTTTTGGCTTTTAATTGTTGCTGTTCTGGACACATGTGCTTGTTTGATACAAGCCCATGGCGTTATGCTAAACCAGCCACAGTGATGTTTCTATGATTGCGTTATCATGACCATCTCTCATTTCGCGACACCCATTTAACTTTCTACCGTAACTGGATCCATAAGCGATAACACGCGTATAAACATGGAGATCTAACTTTGGCGTGGATCTTAAGACGCTATACTGGACGCTCAATCTTAGTCTGCCCCATGTTTCGCTTCATATACGATATGGATATGACACTAATAAATGATATATATATGAGTGATATAGGAAAATACTAACATGTCTCTTCTAACACAAGATCAAATATGTTATCGGCCCTCTCGCAAATCCCATAAAAAATACGAGATTTGAGTTGCGGGAGCTACGGATTTCGGGTTGTGCATTATTCTACTCCGTCGGGGTAATAAGGAAGGGATCCACAGAACTAATGATTGCTCGGCCAAACATGACATTTACAGCCAAGTCCATCATGTATGAGGTCGTTCATCGGATCCTTTTTGCCATGCCTTCTCTTCTATTCCCTCTGCAAGAGGGTCCCGATTGAATCCTGGGAAGAATCTCTGCTCCCTCTGTTGGTTTGACGGGCCAGGATTCTGTTGCTCCTCAGCCACGCTATCAACCAACGAAGCTGTGACGTCTCTAGATATTCTAGGTGATTACTGTCAGCATTTTGTTTCGTTTCCCAGTGCCACAAACGCCTAAGAAAGCTGTCATCATGCCCGCATTTTGACTAGCCAGAAAGCCACACTGTCGAACCAAGCAACGGCGGATTTCCTCATAATGGCCCTAACAGCTGGCGAGAGCAAGGAGGAAGCTCTTGGGAACATTACTGCGATAGATGTAGAAAAAGCCGAGATTGGGAGCACAACCGACACGTCGGTCGATGTGCCCATAAGCCACATCAAGCTCGACCGGAACCGCTTCTCCATCGCCGGCGCAGCGAATTTGTCTCTCGACGACGTCGAGGCTGTCAATGTTCAGATCCGGGGACTCGCAATCTCAGTCGATACGGCTCCTTCATGGCTTGATCCTAGCACGTACCCCGAATTATTCTCCGCCGGGTTCAAGACGGTGCCTCGCATCAAAACTCTTTTGCACTCCGTTGATGCGGACCTCAAGCCTGGATCTTTGACTGCCATCATTGGAGGCAGTGGCTCGGGAAAGACGACGCTGCTCAACAACCTCGCCGAAAGAGTTGTCAGCTCGAGGTTGAGCCAACAAGGCCTGGCAACACTCAACGGGCAAATCGGGGTCAATAGTGTTCGAAATGCCTACGTTATGCAGCAGGATATCCTGCTCCCGACTCTGACAGTTCGGGAGACCCTGAGATACTCGGCTGATCTTCGACTGCCATCGTCTACCAGCGCCGGGGACCGTGAGAGGATCGTCGAGGAAGTCATCCGCGAGCTAGGTCTCAAAGAATGCGCCAATACGCGCATAGGAAATAGTCAGCACCGCGGCTGCTCTGGAGGCGAGAAGAGGCGAGTAAGCATTGGAGTTCAGCTTCTGTCCAATCCATCCGTGCTGTTCCTTGACGAGCCTACCACTGGTCTGGACGCAACAAGCGCGTTCCAGCTCATAAGAACCCTCAAAGCTTTGTCCCAGAAAGGTCGAACAATTATCACGACAATTCACCAGCCTCGATCCGAGATTTGGGACCTGTTTGACAACCTCATCATCCTGTCCAAGGGAAGCCCCGTCTTCTCCGGCCCCGTCTCCCAATGTCTCCCCTGGTTTAAGGATCTCGGTCACCAACTGCCGCCGTTTGTCAATCCAGCAGAATTCGTCATCGACATTGCCGCCGTAGACAATCGCACCCCTGAGTTAGAGGCAGAAACTTCAACTCGTCTCGAAGGTCTCAAAGCAGCATGGAGGATAGAGAGTGAAAGTCGCTTCCTGCCTCTAGAGGGCATCGCCGAGATGAGGAAGCGGAAAAGACACTCACAGGCGACGACGCATGCAGGATTCCTCCGTCAGGTACGCATCTTGACAGATCGTACCCTAAAGGTCACATATCGAGATCCCCTTGGCATGACAGCGTCTATTCTGGAGGCCATCATCATGGGAGTCGTGATAGGCTACTTGTTTTTCAATGTCGGCCGCGATCAGGCTGGCATTAGGTCTAGGGAAGGTCTTCTTTATATATGCGTAGGTCTCCAGGGCTACTTGATCCTGATGTTCGAAACATACCGCTTGACCATTGATATGCCGACATTTGATCGCGAGTCTTCAGAGCACTGTGTTGATGCCGTACCCTACATCTTGTCACGACGATTGGCACGACTGATAACAGAGGATTTCCCTGTCCCTTTCTTATTCTCTCTGATTCTATATTTCATGGCCGGATTTGACCATGATGCCGCGAAATTCTTCACCTTCTTCAGTATCAGCTTTGTCAACCATTTTGCTTGCATCATGTGTGCATTCACATGTGTCGTCACAGTACGACATTTCCCGGGAGCGAGTTTGATTGCCAATTTTGCGTTCACGTTGCAAAGCATAGCGTGCGGTATATTTATTCAAGTCGATACTATTCCGGTTTATGTTCGATGGCTGAAATGGCTGACTTGGTCGGTGAGTTGCCCCTTTTTATACTCTCAGAACTTATCACATACCTGAAGCCCCTCATAGAGACAATGTGCTAATTATAAAACGACAGTTCTATACCTTTGGAGCGTATTGTGGCAACGAATTCCAAGGCAGCTTCTATGACTGCCCTGAGTCAGGGGGGGCATCTAATCCAGCCTGCCTTCAGTATACGGGAGAATACATCATGTCATCCCTCGGATTTCCCAGAAACTGGATTGCTCGCCCGATCGCTTGCCTCACGGCCTTTGTCATCTTCTTCTTCATCTTATCGGCTATTGGGTTACACTACATCAAGGTTGAAATGACCATCGCGCGGCCGCGAGTTTCAGACACGGACCTGTCGGCCGGAAAGGAAAAGATGACTGCAAGGTCAATTGCAGAGGTTCGCACCATCGATGTTGAGCTGGAGAATTTCTCTCTCGATCTCGATAAAAGAACTGCCAATGGCAAAAAGCTGCCTCGAAAAACGATTGTCAAGCCTATCAATGTGACCTTCCAGGCCGGTACCTTGAACATCATCATGGGTCCGTCTGGTAGTGGGAAAACTTCTCTTCTTAACTCGATGGCACTCCGGCTACGCAACTCGATTGGCACCAACTACCGCCCATCTGGCAAGATGTCCTTCAATGGGGCAGTTCCGTCATCGTCGGTTGTCCGATCTGTCTGTTCCTATGTCTGCCAGGATGATGATGCTCTCTTACCTTCGTTGACGGTTCGTGAGACGCTGAGGTTTTCTGCTGCTCTGCGACTGCCCTCATTTATGAGCAAAGAGGACAAGTATCGGCGCGCTGAGGAGATCCTTTTGAAAATGGGGTTGAAAGATTGTGCTGATAATTTGATCGGTAATGATTTGGTCAAGGGCATCTCAGGAGGAGAAAAGCGGCGAGTGTCCATTGCTGTACAGATCCTGACAGATCCTCGCATTCTTCTCCTGGATGAGCCGACCTCCGGACTCGACGCCTTCACCGCGAGTTCCATCATGGAAGTTCTCCAAGGACTTGCGACTGAAGGCCGCACAGTCATTTTGACTATCCACCAACCTCGATCGGACTTGTTCAAACACTTTGGCAATGTCCTTCTCCTTGCGCGTGGCGGTGCCCCAGCCTATGCCGGTCCTGCCAAGGATATGCTCAATTATTTTAATAAGCAGGGATACCAATGCCCACAGCATTCGAACCCAGCGGACTTTGCTCTGGATATGATTACTATCGACTTGCAACGAGATGATAGAGAGGCGGAGAGTAGAGATAGAGTTGAAAAGCTCATTGAAGAGTGGAAAAGATGTTCATCGGGGGGAGACAGGGACCAGCTGTGGAAGAAAGAGGAAGGATCAAGACTTCCAGAGATAACTGAAGCCGACGAACTAGACGAAAAGAACACGTTCGGTGAAGGTGTAAACGCAGCAGAAGCAAACGTCGATGAATCTCTGCCAAAGATTCAACCTGCAGCATCTCGCAAATCCTTCAACAAAGCCAATCTTTCAACGCCGGCAGAACTCGGTGCTCTGGTCCACAAGCCTGCTTCTCTCGCCACCGCTGTGCCTCTGCTTCTGCATCGTGCCATTATCAACACTCGCCGGCAGCCTCAGCTCATCATGGCTCGCACGATGCAGGTTGTGGGACTGGCCATCATCTTCGCCCTCTTCTTCGCACCATTGCATCACGATTACTACTCGGTCCAGAACTGGATGGGTTTCATCCAGGAGATTGGAGCTTTCTACTTTGTCGGCATGCTGCAAAACGTGGCAATCTATCCCACTGAGCGAGACGTCTTTTACCGAGAGGATGATGATGGAGTATACAGCGTGGATGCGTTCCTGCTTTCCTATACAATTCTTGAGGTCCCCTTTGAGATTCTCAGTTGTCTTCTTTTCGGCATCTTGATGTGTCTCGCCGTCGGCCTTCCCAGGACGGCAACCATGTACTTTGTCTCCGTCTTTGGCTGCTTCGGGATAGTCTCGTGTGGCGAGAGCCTTGGGATCATGTTCAACACTATCGTCAACCACACCGGCTTCGCCGTCAACATCATGGGCATGTTTCTCTCCATTGCCACCGCCATGGCTGGTGTTCTGTCCATCAACGCCCCCAAGCCCTTCAAGGCCCTCAACTACCTCTCGCCTATCCGCTATGCATCACGATCAATCGCCCCCTATGCCTTGCGGGATGAAACCTTCTACTGCAAGCCGGGACAACAGCTTGCAAACGGCACTTGCCCGATCGAGACAGGCAAGCAGGTCCTTCAGCTGTACGATTTTGATGTCGATCCGGTGGTGAATGTGGCAGCTTTGGCAGGGTGTTTGGTCGTATACCGGCTGTTGGCTTGGCTGCTGCTGAGGCTGGCGAGGACAAGATGGGGCGGATCTAAGAAATAGAGCCAATCATTATTTCGATTCTTTTGTATGTAGTACAGTTTGATGTAGGGCAAGACATATATAATGCCAGCATTTATGTAGATAATATTTTCAACATGCTTCCCCGAATCTATATGTCCTATCGATAGAGGCCCATCTTTAATCCGGCCGCAGCATAATACACGACGCCTTGATACTCGGATACGGCCATGATTCCTCACGAATCACCAGGACCAATGCACAAATTATTACGTTAATGCCAAACGTTACCCCCCAATACCATCGCCCCTTCAATTATCCATTCCAGCATCACGTCTTTCGCCAGCCACGATCCGTCGACAAATCACATCGTCACATTGTCGCGCTACTGGTTGACGTCATGCCTGATCAACGAATGATTGTCCAGAATCGCCTCCCTTGCATCTCTGTAGCCTCTACAGCCCCCACAAGCAAGTGCGGTCAGGCATCAAATCTTCACTGTATACGGCAATAAGGATGGGAAGTGTCTCAGACGCATTCTGTACAAATGGATTTAGGATTCTGCACTCTTTACCTGGTTCACCGAATCGAATGCTATTACTACCATAAATCTCGGAAATCTCCTCAACACTCTCTATGCCTGAACAAATGCAACCCATGTACGTGCAATGCAAGTATGCCGAAAAACAAATACAATATGCCAAAAACGCCCGCCCGCTCGCACTCAAATATGCCATCTACTCTGATCTCTATCCGTTTGCGCACGCCCCCCAGCTCCTAATCAAAGGCATTGACAAAATCATAGACTCGTGTGTTTCGTATCGTTTACAAAGTTCTCTTCTCGGTGATGGACTCGCCAAATGGCTTGCCAGCGACAAAGCCGTCGCCGGGAGCCTCCAGATCAAACACCTTGCGGCCACGAAGCCACGTCTCCATGACCCGACCGGTGAATTTGTGGCCCTGCCAGGGTGAGCAGCGGTTCTTCCAGCGCATGTCGCCTTGAGTAAAGGTCCAGACGTGCGTGTCGTCGAAAACGCAAATGTCGGCGTCCATGCCAACCTTGAGAGCGCCCTTGCGGTGTGCGAGACCGACCTGCTCGGCGGTTGCTTGACAACAGAGGCGGACCATGTCGGTGATGGTCGGTACCTTGGAGGTCTCAGATCTCTGCTTAGCAGCTGTATGCAGAATAGGCAGGCCGAGGCCGACAGAAGAGATGCCACCCCAAGCAGCGAAGAAATCACCGCGGGCAACCGTCTTGGTTGGCGGCTGGTCCTTGGGGCTGTTGACATCTAGTCCAGAATCCGAATGCGGGATTCCAGGTCTCTCGAGGTGGTCGGGCAGCAGCTTCAGCTGAGGGGTACAAGGCGAGTGGTCAGAGACGACTGTACGAATGCACGAGTCGTCGGCCACCAGCTCTTCCCAAAGGCCGTCCCGGTTGTTAGCCTCACGGATGGGAGGGCAGCACTTGTGTCTTGTGTCGCCCTTTTCAATCTCTTCAGCTGATAGCCCCAGATAATGGAAGCAAGTCTCAGCCGTGATGTTGATTCCCCTCTGGCGGGCAGCCTTGAGGATGGGAATCGCTTGCGTTGCCGACAGATGGACAATGTGGAGGTGAAGCGACGGGGCGATGTGGGCATGTGCGAGGATTTCCTCAATGGCATAGGTCTCGAAAGAAGGAGGCCTCGATTCGAGGAATGTGCTGTAGGCGGTCAATTCGCCTTTGGGAGCCGCAGGAGGATCAGACGTCTGGACGGCATCACCAACGGAATCGGTAATAGGAGGGATCATCTCGGCATGGAACATCAGAGTGGTTGGTTCATCCTTGAGTGTCTCCATGGCCAATGCCACATCTTTGGCGGACACGGCAGGGAACTCGTCGACGCCGGATTCAATGAGGAAGCCCTTGAATCCCCTAACACCGGCCTCTACGAGGGGTTTCAACTCGTCTGCATTGCCAGGAATAACGCCGCCATAGAAGCCTACGTCTACCCAGCACTGGCCGCGACTGGCCTTGAGCTTCTCTTCGAATCCTTGGAGAGTAGTCGTGGGTGGGATGGCATTCAGCGGCATGTCGATGACGGTGGTGACGCCGCCGCTTGCCGCCGCTCTAGTTCCAGTCCAGAATCCTTCCCATTCTGTTCGTCCAGGTTCATTCAGGTGGACGTGAGCATCCACGAGTCCCGGGAGCAACAGCTTAGGAGAGTGGTCTACATAGGTAGCGCTGGGAGGGAAGACCGAGGCGGGAAGGACTTCAGGCAGAACAGAGACAATCCTGCCAAGCTCGGGAGATATGCATATGGTCGCCGGAGAGAGAACAAGAGAGTTGTCCGGAAGAGTGAGGACGGCTCGAGTCGAGACGAGGACGGTGAGCGGCCCTACGTTGGAGGTGTGTGTGACGGTCATGGCGAGAACTACGGTGTTCTCCGAGGCCTGTGCGAGTTAAGATGGGCTCCGAGGGCGAGAGACCGCTACTTCGAAACGATCTTCCACGATGAGAAACAGTAACGCGAGGTGCGTAGTCAGAGCACGATAACTTCACGAACTACGGATGAAGAGGAGGGGTAGAGAAGAGAAACAAGAAAGGAAGAAGGAGAACGGAAACCTAGGCGATGCAAGCCGCATCGTCGGCCGGAGCCGATGACGCTCCAGAGCAGTCTAAGCCATATGGTGGATAGTGGCTGGCAGGCCTTATCGTGGGATACGATGCGCCGGGGCGAAGGGCCAGATAAGAGGGGCCGGACATGTATGGCACGGTGCTTATTCTGGGGTTTCCCCTTATTCCTGCTTCCATCTCCTTGGTCTATCAATCTATCTACCTTGTCAACTCATGGTTTCTTTCTCGGGAAAGACCACTAGCGGAGTTGCAAAATTTTCACATCTCGGGGAGGCAAAAAAAAAATTTCCAGAGGGAAAATGAAGGGATTCGCGAAGTCCCGATGATCACTAACAAGGGAAGATGGAAAAAACATCTCCACCCTTATCGGACTCTCCCGATGGGTCAGAACGAGGATAAAGATCCGATAGCCAGGCAAAAGGTGAGAGAAGGCTGGAGCGCGTGGCCAATCAGCATTTGATCGAGTAACAGTTACTCGAGACGGCGCGACAAGAAGGAAAAAGCTGAACGACCTCGGCGGTGTCGGGATTGTCGATAAGCGAACGGCTAGTGGAGGCGTTATCAGTGGTGGAGTTCAGGGTCTTTATCGGAAACCGCCACAAAAAAGGGTGGCTGAGCATGGCAGCTGAGCAGTCCCTGTGGCTGGTTCGGTTTGCTGACTAATGAAGCCATGAGAAGATCTGACTATCAAGGTCACGAGAAGAATTGAAGAGCAAATGGTGGAAAATAGATTATCCAGAGCTGTGCCGCAGAGCCGAGAATTACATAAGACAGAGAAGAGGAGACGCTCCACGTGTTCCGGCTTGGCCAAGCTAATGCAAGCATCTACAGTTCCGGAGTACGGCTAACTTGCTAAGTTCAAGGTTATTGTTAGGTCCAACAACAATAAATGTTGCGGAGCGGCTACATGCAAACGACGGTCCAGCCTATTCGCTACGGCTCTGGAAGATGGCCGATATCACATTTCCGAGGCGGCTAGAGGCTGGCTAGAGGCTGGCAAAAGGACCCCTTGGCACATCTATGTGAAACAGCGTGCAGAGTGCGTCTTCCGCGTCTCCATGAAGTGTGTGAAGCATGCAGTATGCCTCCGCTAGGTCTCGGTCCAGACCATTGCTTTGTTGCCCAACTGCCCATGGATGGCCCAAGGCCCAAGGCCCAAATACGAGGCAGTTATGTCCCGTTGACAAATGGCTCAGGCTCTCAGCCATGTCTCAGTTGAGGAAAAAGGAAAGATAGAGCATGTGAGCATGGTCTGGACTTGACTCGGCCAGAACACCAAATCGGGGTCCAATACCTTGCTGCAGCCGGCCTGCTGCTAGTACGGCCTCAATCGGTCGTTCCCCGCATGAATGGGAAACAAAATGGCATGCGCTGCCAGAGACTCACAGATTAGCTCAATCCTTCCAGCCCAATCACTGCCACAGCGTCCAATGAGCGTCTTTTACGACAGCAAAGTCTCCTTAGCTGCTCCGGGCAGGATCCCGATTTGCACGACCCACTGTGAAGAGTGCATGATAAACTACGAGTACATGCCGGCGGCACGTCCTTTCTAGTGACCGTGTATGAGGACGGGGCATCACTCGGCGAGAGGGAGCATTGAAGTGCCGACCTGAGGACATGGGCATCTTACGACCTCTATCGGTAATGCCAGCGTCTCCGCGTAGGCACCCGGGGAACCACCGATTTCCCTTGGCGAGTGGACCGCTTGAAATGACATGCTTCCTGTGCAGACCAATGATGTTGATTCACGTTACATGCAGATGTGCGTGCTTTTTTCAATAATGGGCTGGAACAGCCCATTTGATGTGTTGGTAAATGAACAAGGTAGGCCGTATGGCAACACGTGTTGCTATGCTGGGAAGAGGCATCTTGGACATGTTTTATCAACCCAACGTCCATGGGTGCAGCCATTAGCTTGGACGCAAATCTGAAAAATGACTGATTGCAACTCGAGTGAGCGGAAATGTCTCAGGCCGGGCTCGTATCGTGATGATGCAGGAGTGCAAAGTAGCATGAGGTGTACTCTTGCTCCCGGTGGAGAAAGCAGATACGGACACCAAGACGTCGAAGGATTTCTATCTTGCTGTTCATCATACCAAATGCTGACACGATATGCTTTTGTTGCCTTTCCCCAACCTCATGCTGTCGTGGCTCGAATCGAGACCAGCTCTGAATATCAACTTGCAGGTTACTTATCCATCCATCCTTCTCTTAGCGCCCAGGTCTGCTTCAGCCTCACAATCTCGCGTATTCACGACAACATTAGATCCCCCACGGGTCTTGTGTAAGGATCCGAGCTTGACGTGTTAGTCTATATTCCTTGAACGGTGAGTGGCTACTGTCTGCATGAGCATATGTACGCTGTACTCATACATGGCGCTAAATGTTTATATGCAGTTTAGTGATTGCCATCTCGGGCTGCCTTGCAAGGATTCTGGCATCATTCTGCCATTGCCTTGTGTGCCTCCCGCAGCCGGTGTGCTAGGATCCCCCTTCTTGTAGTTCACGCTTTTGCCTTGGCAAAGCTGTGTGGCATTCAATCGTCCCCCTTTTCCGGCCAGCCAGTTGCTTGACGGTCTGAGTGTACGGAGAATCAGATACATTCGTCTTCTTCGATCGAAGGAGACTGGTAACCTTGATGAAGAGATCGAATCATCAAGTCGTTCACACAACCGTGTGAAAGCATTAATTTGGTGGCAAGAGACATGTCAGCTCTTGCTTATACGGCTTGCTTGCGGCTCAGTCACTCGTCAGAGCTGAGAGGGCGGGGAGGGGAAGGGGGGTTAGACTGCTTTGGCCAACACTTCCGAATTCGCAAACCAGCTAGTCATACAAGATAGCCGCCCTCCCCGATCGCTGCTAGTGTAGCAGGAAATGTCATCACATTGGCTAGCACAAACTGGTGCTGCAGTGTGCTGGTTGGGACAAGTCCAATCGGTCATATACGCGCCGTGGAGGAGGGGTGGCACCTACGCCATTGTGATTGTCTGCCTGACCTGTGAGACACTGGTCGGCTAAGACACTGATCTGTGCCAAAAAGGGGAGACGATGGCTGAAGTAGGTCTTGCTCATGAAGGGAAAGGTCGATTACCCCATCCCAAGAGCTGCCGTGCACCTTGGAGTTGTATATATAAGGGGCAGAGACTCCTCCATATCCTCGACGTTTCTCATCAGTTTTCATCAGTTCTCATCATCTACCATCCTCTCTCATCCTGTCATCATTTATGAAACATTCTGTCTCTTCCCCTTCTATCATTTCTACTTGTTTTTGAACAAGAAAAGTTCAACTCTCTCCAGAACAACAAAGGGACAAACCCCCTGCTGCATTAGCATTGTCACACCTGAGATCTCTCATCCCAAGATCAATCATGGTACCAAATCCGGAGACACACAACCGCCCTGTCGCCGAAGGCGAACAAATCCTCCCGCTCCATGGCGCCCTTGAGGGCACCTTCTACGTCCCGCCGATGCCTACAGGCCCCATGTCGATGACATCGTATGTCACACCTCACATGCAGGCCTTTCCCACAAACTATGCCATCGGGGCGCCGACTATGTGGGCAGCCGGCGCCCCTCCCATGATCTTCCCATACATGATCGACACCTCTGGTCAACGCCATGATCTCGCTTCTTACGCCGAATGCACAGCAGATTCTGGAGTTGATCAGGTCAACGGGGTGATGGTGGTGTGCGATAGCGGTGCAAACAGCGACGATCTACAGGCCCCTCGGGGCAAATACTACTACAATGGCTGCAGGAAGCTTGGCTCAGGATCACAGGTCAACGGCATTGAGATTGTATATCACGGAGGCAGTCCGACACCAACGGCGCCTGCCATGCCCGGCCGCTGGGAAAAGATGGATATGCTCAATGCGGACGGCAGGGAGATTAAGGGGGCTCCCAAGAACCAGATCAACGGCGCCAGGGTCAGGCTGATGAAGAGGTCGGATATGGGGGCTTCGATTTAGATTAGCATTTGTTTTCAATGGCTGTTTTTCTTTCAAAAGTTGTATACTATACCAGCCGTTATCGAGATGATCGAACTGGCACATGTAGATCCATGAATCAAGAGTGTTTTTGGTATCATTGCTTCTGCACCCTCGCTCTGAATCCAAGTGCTGTAAATGAACTGCTATAACCAAAAGCATGGTAAAAATCACACCCACCGAAGACTAGACTTGGGCATCTATGTATCTATATTGCGGAGAATTCGATGCCTACGTTACATGGATATACTCGCAGACCACGTAATATACAAAATATACACACCTCCAATCACCAGATCCCACGTCTTCTCTCTCCTCCCAGAAGCGAATGACACCATAACGGATGCAATGCGTTGCCGACGGGAATAAACGAAGAAAATCCAGCAATCAATAGCCTTTTCTATTAACAAGCTGGTTGGTCTATCAAAGGTCCTCGCGCCATCCCCCTCCGCTTCGGGCATCCATCAATCCATCCCCAATCACGAAATATCCATTCGCATGCTTTAATTTTTTTTTTCGTTGAGTCCCAGGGTCTTTCTTTTTGATGATTCAGTTTCCGCCTTTTTTATTTTACTTTAATTTTTTGTTTTGCAAATCAAATAGCCGACCTTGGTGCCTTTCTATCAACATCTGCATGTGTACCCTATAATAAGTGGTGATTTGATAATCCCGTCTTTTTTTGTTGGCTTCCTTGCTTTTCAACACAAGAGAAAGAAACAAAAACAAGTGCAAACGGTCCCCCCGTTTCTCCATCCAAACACCATGCCCTTTTGTTCTCCCATTCTTTTTCATGCCTTTTTTGTGTCCCTTCTCATTACACATTTACCCTTTTTTTTTGCCCAAGAGTGGAATAATGGTACAAACGCCAGAACAGTTGGCCTTCTCCCCCCCTCTCCCCGCGTGGCCTGTTTTCAGGTTGCCGCGGTGTTTATCTGCTACCTGACCTGTGATGCATGTGATTGGTTACTTTTGGCGCTGGATCGTCTTGTGAGCCATTTCGATGAGGCCATCCTTGGCCTCGCTGTCGGGGAAATCGGCAATGGCAGCAACCGCCTTTTCGGAGTAGTCGTAAGCGAGAGCTCGGGTCTGCTCAATGCCGTCGCTCTGGAGCACTAATTGGCGAGCCTACAACGTGTCATGTTAGTCCCTCGTCTGATTACAGTTGGAGGTGTGCAAGACTCACCCTCTGGACGTCTCCCTCTTGGGCAAACTTGCGCCCAACGAGAGCTCCAAGCTCGGGCATCTGCTTCCAGGCAAACAGCAGCGGTGCCGTGGCCAGTCCCAGCTCCAAATCTGCTCCTGCAGGCTTGCCCAAGTCTTGCCCACTTCGGGTGTAATCCAGCATGTCGTCCACCAGTTGGAATGCGAGGCCCAGGTTCCGTCCATATGAGTAGGCGGCCTCCACCGTGTGCTGATCCGCGTTGCCGAGAAGCGCCGCCGCTCGGCAAGACTTGGAAATCAAGCTGGCAGTTTTGAGATATGTCTTTTGCAGGTAGTAGCTCAGCGTCTCCTCGGACCACTTGGGGCTGCGCTCGTCGCGCTCTGTGTTCTTGAGCTGCATGAACTCGCCCTCCACCAGGTTGGCAATGACCGTGGCCAGCAGCTCCACCACCTCGGCGTTGCGTAGGCGTGCCAGCGCAACAGATGCCCTGCCCAAGAGGAAATCTCCAGCCAAAACAGCCATCTTGTTGCCAAACTCCAAATTGGCCGACGGCGCACCTCGTCTCGACACAGAGTGATCAATGACATCATCGTGTAGCAGAGATGCCGTGTGGATCAGCTCTGTGATTTCTGCCAGCCGTCTCTGGCTCGGGAGGATGTCGAGGTTAGCCGACTCGGCCAATTCGTTTTCATACGACGTCGAGCTTGCCATTGGGTTGACGTCGCTTAGGATCTGCATGGGCGATATTGACGTGTCGATGCCCCTCGCCGACTCGGGAGCTACTTCGCGCGGGCTCTTGGGACACAGATGTGTGGCTCGCGACATGAGCAGCACAATGAGTGGCCGCACATGCTTGCCCTCGGCCTGCGTATAATACTTGGCGACTCGGTCGAGCGCCGGATGGCCTGATCCCAGCAGCTTGCGGATGTTGCCCGTCAGAAACTTCATCTCCTTGGCCACGGTTCGCAGCGGATCAATCGTCATGGAGTCTTTGGCCGCTCGCTTCGCAACATTGCCCACCATGTTTGTGGCCACCTGGACAGCGGCAGCCCACGCTGAGCCCCGGTTGGAGCTCGAGTGCAGCCCGGCCTGCTGGATGCTCAAAACCCTCCAGGCAGTGCTCGCCGCCATCGTGGGCCGGTGGCAGACCCGGCACGTCGACGCTCCAACCCGGCCGGCGGCATCGCGAAGAGCCGCCGAAGCTCCCGCATGGAGCCTCATCTGCGGCAGGTCTGCGGCAGGTCTCTTCGCAATCGAGGGGAGACGGGCTTGTCTAGCGCACTATTCGCAGCGTCTGGGCGCTGGCTGGGGAGATCGGGGTGGTCGAGGGCCGCAAAGTCGCGCAATCAGTCGTTAAGATCTGGTGGTTTGAGTCGCAAATCCAGCCGTCCGAAACTTTTGCACGGCTCTGGGCCGAGGGGCATCTGGACCTAATCGCAGCTGCTCATTGGACGGTGCTGTCCAGCGATAGGCCCTGGAGCACAGGGGCCATGAGCCCTGTAACGCTGCTGCACGACAGCGCTGTAGCAGTTCCATCCGTAGCAGTTCCCGTAGCGCTCCGGGCGAACGCCCGCTATTACGAGCCTAGCGTCGTTGGTAAGCCGGGTCGGCAATCAGAATTGGCAGCGTCCAGGCGAGGAAGCTTCCGCTAGAGAGGATGCCCCGCACCGTATTCCGTAGCTTGCATCCCGCTATTGGCTTCGGCTATCCCTGCCTTAGTGAGTGATCAATTGATGCCTTTACACTTTTGATAGCTTCACGGGCGGCTCTTCATACTCGTACATGTCATTTGTGATAGCAACACACCTCCACTCACCATGGTGCTCCTGATAATGACGCCGTCCATGGTGGACGCTCTGAACCTGCTGGACGAACTGAACAAAGCGAACGAGCCCAACGACGATGCGAGCCAAAGCCAACCCGAAACCGAAGCAGCCGCATCATCATCACCAGAGCGAGCAGTGGGCACTCCCATCTCCCACACCGATGTCATCAGCCTTTACAAGAAGATCCGCGCTTCAGAGGCATCATCACCGAAATACAGCCTTGAGCAGCTACTCAAGGGATCTCGCTTCTATTTCCCGCCTCCTCCACCAAAGCCCGAACCGGTTGGTGCCCTTCCGCGTCATGCGTTTAGCAGGATGTTGATGATGGTGTTTTACTGACAACTCTATGTATCCTTAGACCGAAGAATACAAAGTCCTAATGGCTCGTCTTCGCCGCGAAGAAGATGCCCGAGCCTACGAACGCATGATCAACCCGCCGCCTCCGCTCGAGACGTTCCAGCACCGATTCCCCAACGCTGCCTATGCCTTTGCTGAGGTTAACCGGCCCTCCAAGCCGGAAGATCTTGGAGATGATGAGGTCACATATAATGAAATTCATCGCCAAGTCGTGCTGATAATCAACTTCCTCGTCAGCATTGCTGGTGTTGCGGTTACGTTGTGGATTGCTGGCCGCTGGTGGAGCCTTTCGTCGCGAATATTCTTATCCCTTGGTGGGAGTATATTGGTTGCAATTGCAGAAGTAGCTGTCTACTCAAGCTATGTGTGGAGAATGGGCGAGGCGAAGAACAAACAGGGCGCAGTGAAGGAGATCAAAGAAGTTGTCCAGACATGGGTTGTGGGACAAGGAGAGGGCGACGAAAAGAGCATCTTGCTGCAAAGCAAAGATGAAGGCGACGAGCAAGTGAGGAGGAGAAACCCGACAACCCAAACGGACAATCCAGACTCGTAAATACGAGTCATCCGCTTCTTGTTTTGTATATTATTTGCAAGCGTTGTGCCAATACCTCTGTTTTCTTTGTACGAATACCTTTGTCTTCTTTGTAACTTCAAGTGCAGCACCTGGTAGTTTGCCGTATTTCATCTGATGAAAAACATCACCAATTTAGCCTCTTGCTAATTTTATAAGCTGCACACTGATAAAGTTTATTCTCTATATAAAATATTCACTAAGTGGCGTAATATAACGCCTCGACTATATGTTGCGTGCGTAAGCTCACAAGACGATAGCTTAGAAGCGGGTGCATGTGACATCGCGTAAAGTGATCGCAATCGCGTCTCGACGCGTCTTTTGCGTGGGGCCGATTCTCGTGAGCACCACAAGCCTGGCGCCTGTTTTCACCCCCAGGTTCAAGTCTTTTTTTCCTTGAGCTCTATACTAAGCTACTTTGTCTACGAATTACGAACCACGAATATTATTTCACGCCGTTGCATTGCAGCAAAAAATATACCATACGTCTTTAATTGGGCGCGAACCTACAGCCGAGCGATGCTCTATGCTCTCGCACACTAACCGCCGAGAATCTGGGTTACACGCGCGCGATACGCTTGGAGCAGCCATGGTGAATTCCTCGCCTGAATATTCAATGTCAGTCCTCTCTCCAGCTCCAGCTGCTGTTTTTTATTGGATTATTTGCTCATGTAATGCCCCCCAGAACGAAACCTGGCCTACACCACCATCTCCGCAAAAGGGACAAACCACTCCGTACCTACGGCAGACAAACCTCAACCCCCGAGGCGCAAAGCGAACCGCCGCTCAAAAGACCACGACTAGCTGCCATTAAGCAGCATGAAGAGAAACTGAGCTCTCCAAATCACAACTTAGATGCCGCCACCAAGTCCGAGGATGCAGCGGTAACAGCCGCACCCGAGGCAAAAACAACACAGGATGAGCCAAGTCGAAGCAAACCCGACACGCACGCGCAGTCTCCCAAGAAGGGCTCTATCCTGAGCTACTTCAAACCGGCTCCCCAGAAACCCAAAGACGATGCTCCATCCCAGCCACAGGATTCACAATCAGAAGAGCCAATCGCTCCCCAAGCATCGCCGAAACGGAAACACACCTCGAAACGAAAACCCCGACTCCTCAAGATCAAAGCCATCTCCCACGAACCCTGCGACCAATCCTCCCAAGACTCAAACTCAGACTCCCCCCAACCACACTTCAGTCGCCACCCTCTCCAAAACACAACCTCCAAAACAGCAGAAACCACATCAAGCTCAACATCCCCCACCCAGTCCCCGGGGCGGGGAAAACCCGGCCGCAAACCGAAACCCTCTCCCTCCATCCAAACCACCCTCAACATCTCCGCCCAGGCTCCCTTCTCCGAATGCAAGATCTGCAACACCGTCTGGAACCCTCTGTATCCCGACGACGTAAAGTTCCATAACAAGACGCACAAGGCCGTGCTCAGAGCGCAGAAGCGCAAGGTGGACGATTTATGACATTAAAGGGGAGGTGGTTTTAGACATGCATATATACGATTGAGTTTTTGTTTATTTGCCTCGCGAGGAAGAATACGGGTGGCGCGGCAAATGGAAGCGGATTTAGATCATTGCATTGCATCATGGGCTGGGAGAATACCATTTTATTTCACGTAATTCTTAGATTCACACGGAGATTAAAACACCGTTTGGCTTAATACACGTCAATTCAGCCTCAGCCGTAACGCATTATACCAAGAACTCAGCCCCCTCATTATTAGAATCGTCGCATTAAGTACTGTTCCAGTCTCCTTCACAGGATAGGTATCATTAACCACTCAAAAACAATAGAAACATCGAAAAAAACTCCTCGTCCCCTCAATTTTTTTGGCCTCTTCCTTCTCTTCACCAGTCCCAGATAGTCCCGTCCACATACTAAGCAGCAGACTTTGCATCACCGCCCGTAACGCCATTTTCCTGCGCCTGGTGCTTCTCGACGGGCGTGGTCGTGGCAACGGGTGACTTGACATCAGCATCGGCCGCCTTGGTTGCAACCGCTGCCGCTGCAGGAACCGCTGTCACCGGAGAGGTCATGGTGGGTGACGACGTGGTTACAGGGGATGCTGGGGTCGATATGGGAGCAGGAGCAGCATTAGTGACGCCCTGAATGATCTGGAACCAGCGCTGGGCGTCGGCAGGCGTGTGAGCCTTGAAGCTGAGCTCGGAGCTGCCAGTGAGCTTGCTGCTCAGCGTGCCGCTCTTGTCCTTGCCCTTGATGTTGAACTTTTCGGCGTTGGGCACTCCGATGACGGCGTCGGGGAGATAGATGGACAGCTCGGGCTTGGGGTCGTTGCGGGTGTCGTCCGAGTCCTTGAACTCGTGCAAGAACTTTGAGGGCGACACGACGTAGTAGCTGGTGGAGTAGCCAAAGGACAGCTTGTTGCGCGACTTGCGCTCCAGCGAGCCCTCAATCAGCGCCTTTGTCGAGGCGTGCTCCATGTTAGGGAACTGAATGGCCTCGACGGAGCGCGGGGGGTCGTTTGCATTGACCAGTCGGTCGGCAGCGCGGTGCTGGAAGTTTGTCCACTCAAAGTCGCGCGGGATGCACTGCACGGTGCCGAGGATGTCGCTGTTGAGCGCCCGCATCTTCTCGCCCTGGCCGCCGACCAGCTGGGTGAAGCCCTCTATGGCCTGCTGGACGACCTCGAGAATGTGCGCCTCGAACGTGCGGAAGTTGTTCTGCACGGAGACGAGGTCGTTGCGGTGGTTGTTCTCCGCGATGACCTGGTTGCTAAGGCGGTGCATGACGCCGCGGCGGACCACGTACGGATCCTCGTGGCTGTTGGTCTGCCGGCCGCCGTGCGAGTCGTATGCGGCGGCTTGCTGGCCGAGCAGCTCAATGTGCTTCTGCGTCACATTGCGCAGCTTCTCGACCTCCTTGGCCGCCGCCTGCGCGCCGCTCGCGAGCTCCTTGGCCTTGTGCTTGATCTCCTTGTGCAGACGATCGAGGATGGGCAGGACGGAGCCCTTGATGCTCTTCTCCGTCTCGATGTTGGTGTTGATCATGGCCTGGGTGTTGGCTCGCATGTTCTCGAAGAAGCCCGCAACGCCGCCAAGGCTCTGGTCGAAGTGGTGGCCCTCACGCAGGGGATTCGAAATGGTCTGTCGGGACGCCGCATGTCAGTATAAAAAAAGAAGAAGAGAAAAGACAAGAAAAGCACTGGCAATCCGCCAAACCAGTGTAGAAGGAGGAGCAATCAGGGGCCGTATCTCACCTTCAAGACCTTCTCGTACTCCTTGGCCTGACGGCCGTGAACCTTCTCCACGGCCTCGACATACTCCTCGAGATATCCCACCATGTGTTTCCACGCCTGCAGACGTTCCGCAAGCAATCCAGCGGTCTACATTTCGCTTGGTTAGCCGCCCGCACGCTCGCACTTCAAACCTCAGCAAGAGAAGAGGCTTCCTCTCCCCGCTGTGCATATGCCGTGTCACGTACATTAGAGGGATCCGCCTCCGGAATAGCATCGTCGCTCAACCCCGTCGTCGCGCGGGACGGCAGCGTAGTGGTAGTCGGCGAAGCCATGGTGAAGAAGACGTATCTCTTGTTGTGCTCGCAGAGGTATTAAGAAAAGATGTGAACTAGAGGTCCAATGACTGATCTTCGAGGCTTCTAAAATAAAGAGCAGAAAGAATAAAAGCAAGCAGCGCAGCAAGGAGTGAAGGAGGACAAGCGCGCAAAGGAGAGTCACTGGTTTACGAGGTTGCAGTAAATGAGGGACAACCAGCCATTGGCGGTCACTGGCCGGCCTTGATGCCGCCTCCCCTTGTCACACATTTTAACCACACCTGCTTTAGCTGGGGGGTCCAGGCCTGGCAGCATCAAAATCGGGCCATTGAGCTCTCAGAGCCTCCATCGTGGAAGGGGAGAAAAAAAAAAGGGCCATGGGGCGGTTCGCCACATTTGGCGGTTGTGTTAGCGCCTTGTGTGGTTTGTTTTAGCATCGCATCACGACGATCATGACCCATGGCTGTGGTCATAAGATGCTCGATGATGCGTGCGGCAAGTTGTGTAAGTGGTAGCTGTAATTGAGCACTTCAGCACTTGGCCACTGCTGTACCTACGAAACTTCAAAATCATAGACTCCCGTCTCCAACCAAGAAGCCCCTCCAGCCTGCGCTGTCCAGATACAGCAAAAAATGTCATCGTCTCATTTTGCCGAGTGGGGGTTCAGCAGCACAGGGGATACGAATCAACCACGTACTCGTATTGGCTGCTACTGCAATATTCCGCTCTCCGGATCTCTCGTTATCTCGTCGGCTCTTGAACGCCGTGAGGCCTCTCTTGAACGCCCTCTTCCCTCCCCGCAGATCGATCGTGAGTCCAAAGGCTCGCTCAGATGCTGCATGTTCCAACACGCTGCAAATCTTGATTTCTCTGCAGCGCATCCCCCTCTAGCCTCGTAGCCCGGCGTTTTTAGTGTCGGCCGTGACGTCAGCTGCGCAGACAAGAAGCGTTTGTCTCAGGAGAGGCCTTTCCGGTGTGGCTGCAGAACTGATGCTGTACTTCAGCTATCTTGTTCAACTCGATCTGCCTACTTGTATCGCACTCCCTACATACAGTGCTATCACCACAGCTCATTCATTGCGTCAGACACAGCCACGGCCACCAATGAGGCCAATGAGGATCAATTGGCATCAGTAGTCCCTGCATAAGTAGGATTTGCCCCTGAGCCATGAGGGGCCCGACTGAACTGCAACGCCACTTGCATAAGGTCGGTAACATTCAGCGCTCTTGGCGGCATCGCATTCAGAACACAGTCACAGCGTGATCAAGTGAAATCTAAGACAGGGAAGAGACGTCCACAAAATTGGCCATTAGCCTCTTTGCTATTGCTGTGGTAGTGTTTGTGGGTAGTTCGTAATACTAAGCTCCGACAAGGCTGCTAATAGCATGCCCAGGGGAGAAGAAGGAAAAACAAAAGTCATGATAACCTCTATCCGCAGATGCCCAAGTCTATAGATTGTATCCTGAAAAAAAGAAAGAAAGCCACGCATAAATCGCTGACGCCTGTAACAACCAACCGACCCTACAGTGCCCAACCAAAACTGATAAAAGATGGAAAAAAGAAGAAAAGGCTCGTATATATGTAGCCGTATAGAAACAAGATGATTAAGGAAAGAGGAGAAAATAACAGAAAGGGGGGATCGTTCGCTTCATGGTGCAAAATCAATGCTGTGCAATCGGTTCACTCTCAAACGGCCTGATCCCTGGCACGGAAGAGATGTAACCTCCGGTGCGCCGAGGTGTCATCCGAATTAGACCGGGCCATGGGAGACGACAGGGCCCGAGCAACGCTCTGCATGTGTGTCTCATGCACCTCGTGTGCCTCGCCTGCTGTGTGCTCAGTTATTGTCGACAAAGCATCGCTACTGTTGCTAAGCTCCATGTTGGGTGGCGTCCGCGGAGCGCTCAGGGCAGTCTGGTAGTCGGGGACAAAGATGCCCGTTTGAGTGCGAGACCGTGCCGGAGTTTTCACTGCTGTTGAATAACTCGGCACTCGATTCAATTCGGCAAACTCCGCAACGTCTACTTGGACTCGTTCAGCCGAGCTTCTAGAACTAGATTCATCCTCCTCGCTGTTTGTGCGGCTGAGATGAGCCGGCGTATGCGGTGTATGGGGTGTGTGAGAGGTGTGATTTGACCCGTGTGTAGGTGAGTTTCTTCCAGAAGCAACGTGAAGAGAGTGGTATGAGCTGTTTCGCTGCGACGGGTCTATAGAGACGTCGGCCAGTCTGGAAGAAAGAGCAGCCGGCGTGATGGCTGCGCTGTTGGCAAAGGCCGCCAGGTTTTCCGAGGAGCCCGTCCGAGAGTGTCCGTAAAAGGGGCTGTTGAACCCAGAGTGCACAGCCGGTGTCTGGAATCCGGTAACGTCCATTTCGTCATAAAGCTGGTCGAGCACATGTTCGCCGTATCCGGGAGGCGCAATCGATCCGATATCCTGTTCGAGTGTCGCGCCTCCGGGAGCCTGGTTGACCAGGTTGCCTTGTTCGTCGAACGGAATGTTGGGCGAGATGAAGATGGAAACCGGGAGCGTCGCTCGTAACTGTTGCGCGCATTGTTAGCCGATGTCTCACTGCCCTGAGCTGAGCCCACACAATCCCCATCGCTGTGAAACACTTACCTCGGAAATGTGGCCGTCCGGGTTCCTGAGTGCGACGGTGAGCTTGATCTTGTGCCTTACTCTGATTCCATGATGGTTGAGATCCTGGATGCATTGGCGCAGCTTCTTGGGCAGAGGGAGCGGCTTGTTCAGCAGCCAGCCCTCCTGCCCGCTGTCTTCAATCATGTCGTGCCAATGCTCCTCGCGATCCACCGCAAACTTCCACGTCGCAACATCGCGCTCTATTCGGTGCTCCCGCATGTTTAGGCCAGTGGCTCCCTGGATGAAGCAATCCCGTATCTCGACCATCTTGGCAGTGATATCGCCCAGCTCGAGGCCCTTTAGGAGGGGCGTAAACCGCATCTCCAGGTTGATGGTGCCGCCGAAAACCACGGCCTTTTGTGGAATGACAATGGAATACTCGATCTTGTTGGGCCAGATGTTCTCCACACTCATGGCGTGCAGAAACTCGAGTGCGCCGGGCTCTAGTGTCCGGATGATGCGGAGGTGCTTGTAGGCGTGCAGGTCGTAGGCAAATTTTCCGCGGCTGACGGTGGCCTTTAGCCGGTATGTGATGGATGCTTCGGGGATGCCCTCGACACTCTCAGCGGTGTCGCCGGGAAGGGTGTATTCGAAGGGATATTCGTAGTTTCCAGCAGGCAGAGTCATGCTCTTGCCGTGGGTGCCAACAAAGGCCGGCCATCTGTGATCGAGGATGGTGATGGTCCTATCGACTCTTTGGCCAGTCACGCCTGGTGTGCTAGATCCAGGGTCAGACCAACTGGAGAGACAAACGGCAGAGTTAGAACTTGTTACACACTGATAAGGCGAATAGTTGACGGGGGAAGCATACTGCAGTCGGAGAGTCCCAATCAGACGCAAATGGACGTCCTCCATTCGGAGGGGCGAAGAAAGACATAGCACGACGACGCCCTTGAGGAGCTGGCCGGAAGACTCCTGTTCGTTTCCGCGAAAGACAATGAAGTCATCGTCTAATCTAATAGAGCAGAAGAGTTTAGTTTAGTAACCCGCAAGAGAAGAGGCGCATTGTGCAATTTGAACTTGGGAGAGTGTTTGTCCACCATGTGTTGCCCCAAGAGCGTTGCGCCGTTGCGATAAGATAAACTCACCTGACATCAAATAGACTATAGCTATGACGTCCTGTCACCGAAGAAAATGGCTTAAATGACGGCATGGTTCGGGTTTGGCAAAGCCGCAATTGCAAAAAACGGCCAAGAAAACCCAGAGAGGGAAAATCAGGAGAGATGAAGTGGTATAGAGAAGAAGAAGAAAGGAAACCCCCAGCCAGAGCCGAGAAAGAGGTGGAAACGCAGACGAGCACGCAGACCAGACGATCGTTGGGTCTAGGATTCAATGGGCTGACATGCCACGCGCCAAATTTTCTGCTTGCCTTCGCCTCTGACACACACACACACACACACACTGACAGCGCTGACTGGCTGTGGGAAAACTTCTAGGCCTCTCGCTCTCGGTGGTATGGCACCGAGAAAGGGACCAAGCTGATAGCGGCGGGGCTCGATAAACGCCGCAGCAAGGGTCTTCCGTCAAGAGCCGGAAGTTGTTGGCTCGCAGCTAGTTGCCCGGTTGGTGGATCCGATAATGCGAGAGAGTCTGTCTTGTCTTGGACCGTGATCAGATTGCGCGATACTAGGGGGTGGCAAGCGAAGAGATTTGATGATGAGAGGGAGAAGAAGGGAGAGAAGAAGAGGAAGAAGAGGAAGAGGAAGAGAAGAGAAAAGAGTTACAAGGGATGGGAGAGGAGAAGAAGAGGGAGAGACTTTGGAGCCAAGCCTCGGGAAAATCACAGGGCTCGACGGTTCGTGCAGCGATATGTACAAGCATGTACGATATCGGGGACGACGCCCAAGGAGGTGTGGAACTCGGTCGACATGACAGCAACTCTGCCCGTGGCTTCTCATCGTCCGCATCCGTATCAATGGCGGCTCCGAGTACAGGTACCAGCGGGCAAGTATTACTCCTACGGGAATAAAGGCTGCTTGGGATCCACGAGGCGGGCGCCCGATAGAGTATCAATCGAAATGCCGTGGGCTGGTGGAACGAGCGAACCCGATCTCGTCACTTTGTTGGCGTTGTGCTACCTGTCTGTGCTGTGCTGTGCTGTGCTGTCCTGTACATGCATGTGCTTCTTTCTTCAGACGAATCATTCCAAGGTACCTGTGCTTGGACGGTTTCATGTATACTTCCATTCAACTCCACAGCATTTCTTCATCCAATTTCTTTCTCACTGCCGAAGTGCACATGCGCTCGCTCGTACGTGCAGCGGCAACAGGCCATAACAAGGTCATGATGATGACGGCCGAAAGCCGAGTGCCGGGGCTCCATGGCTTGACACATGCCAGACAGGCGAAGCCTCAGAAAAAATGGAAGCCCGAATAGAAGCCCGAAAACGGAGCGTTGAGCCCGCCAAACAGGCACCGTCAAGGCTTTTCTGGGCCATGAGTCGTGGCACGCAAGGGGAAGCAAAAGGCAAAAAAAAGCCACCGTCAAGATGACGCTGGGGCTTGCAAACGGAATGGGCGCCTGGATTCCCATTTTTTTATGGAAACTAAAAATGACACAATTCGATTTGATTTTTTTCATTTGATTGCATTTTTTATTTTGCCGTTAGTGCTGCTTCTAATAATACAGCGGGAGTCCCTTCGTGCACAGACACAGAGAGACAGGCAATGCCGCTTTGAGAAGCACAGCGCGGAAAAGTTACTTCATACGAAGTACCGCTGCGGGTCGAGCGCCTCACCTCGCCTCACATCGATGCTTGCGCACTGACAGGAATGTAGCAGCAGCAAGTACCTGGAATACGTAGCCATTCAATGCCACATCACAACGACGGTTATTTCAAGCTTTGCTAGCATCACAGAGCCATTTGTATAATATCATCGACGCAAAACTTGTCCAGCAGCGCAACCGCCCCCGGCATCGGACCTTGTAATAGGCAAATCAAACAGCCGGCACTTTCACACGACACGAAACGACAAAACGGCTATTTGCCCCGCGGTACCGCTACTTGGGCCTCCTCCCAAGCATCTCCAAGCATCTCCAAGCCCTTGGCAATATACTTCATCGTGCTTGTATGGATAGACGCCGTCTTGGTATTGATTGCGTCGTGAGGCGGTGCTGCCCGCTTGACTCTATTCAACTGCTCGTAGTAACCCCCGAGTGCAATGCAATGCAATGCACCGGCGGATAAATACTAACAAGGAAATATCTCGCAGTGCTCACTCTCCCAAACGCCAGCTGACCCTCTGCTGCTGTATGAGAGGGTCAGCTTCAGCAGAGAGCCTGATCCATCGCGCTGCAGGCCAAAGTCCGCCTCGTTCGGCTGCATCCCGCTGGACTCAGCCCGCCAACGCATCTCTTTTGTAATACTACTAGCAGCTGCAAGATACTCAAATACTTGTATCTGATTGTCCGTCCCTTTGCAGCGCGGTGGAGACGTGACCAAGGCATTAACTGTCGCTAGTTCGGTTTGCTGAGGCTTGGCTTCTTACCTACTTGTATGCTATCTTGGCCATCAATCTTGCTTGCTTGTAAGGCTTAGCTACCTACATTAGTAGTACCTCGGCCGGGCCTCATCTTACCTATACAAATCCAAGCTCAGCCGCCATGATTACAATATTCTCGTCGTTGTCATCATCATCCTACGCTGCCTACATGTGCGTCTACGTCTTATAATAGCCCACAGCATCCAACTACCGAAGATAAACGACCGTCTCTACCGATGCAATGCCACCCTTCCCTCTGCCCTCTCCAGTGATGTACCTGTACTCGTACATCCTCAAACCAGATAACCAAGCTCGTATCAAGACCCGCGGCTGCTAGCTTCGGCATCGACAACGCCATCTCGAAGCTGTCTGATACCAAGCCCATGTGCCCAGCCAGGGGGGTCCCATGAGTGGCTCTAGCTTGGGATACCAGCCCTGGCTGATCTTGCTGATATCAGTGGAACGCCTGCGGGCCGTCCAAAAGAAAAAAAAAAAAAAAGGGACCCTGCGTCGTCCACTCTGGAAAAACCGAGCTTGCAAGGGCCACGAGAGAGAAAAAAAAACCTGGAAAGGTCTTGAGGCATAATAGCGCAAGAGATAAGGGAAATCACAAGCAGCTGAATCGCCCACCGCCTCGCAGCTGATACTATGTACAGTACCACTCAAGGAGGCCCATTATTTAAAAAATTTTCTTTTTCGGTTTTTTGCTGTGTCCCATGCATCGAGAATCGCTGTTAGAGATTGCTCTAATGCTACCTTGATATGCTCCATAGTGGATGTGATCTGCGAATCCTAGATGGCGCCTCGAGCACGGGATGTGACAGACCCCCTAGCTTTTGCAACGTTGACATGTGTTCCGACTCAACAACTCAAGCACAACAATTTTCATCATGTTTTGTTTTTTTCTTGCTACCGTTAATTCCCGTCCAGCACGGCGAGTTCTCGGGAGCTCTCGAGCCTCGCCTCTCTTCTTCAATCTGCTAGTTCATGCCTTCTCCCTGCTAGCGGTCATTAGCACCGACTGATTATCGTTGACTGATCTCTCTCTCTGGCAACTATGTCCGGAATCCACATGTAGCCGCCGACCTGGCACGAGCAACCGCTCTGCACCAAGACGCCGACTTCATCTCCAAGAATCTCCGTGCCCCCGTAGCCCCGGCTACTAGGCGCTCGGATTGCCCTGCACGGAGGCACGGAGTCTACAAGTAGCCCAAGCCGTAAATTGCTCCGGCGTGAAAAAGGTCGGCCATTTCGCCGAAAATCAAGTCATTTCGTGGTCATTCTCAATATTCAACCCCGAGATTCGGCGTCAATAGCTGCCTGGAAAAGGAGAGGAGAGTGGTGCCATGACATGTTTCGACAAATGCATCATGACACAGGACAACATCTGATCAAGATGAGATGCAATAATTTCCGCATCAGCAGCCGAAATTCTCCTAACTGCTACCACACAGCGTCGCATTCCAACTTCATCACCACCCCCCCACGCCTGCTCCGCCTAGCCTTCCAGAAACGGGTCTGCAGCTTGATGACAACTTCGGCCAGCTCTCGGAAAGATGGAAAGTGAGCCGAAACGCCTTGGAGGCCAGAGCCTGTCTGATAGGTCGTCAACGGGGCAAAGCCTGCAGCACATAGGAGTACAGGCCCGTCATTCACATGTCTGTCTCATGCAGACGACAAGCAAACTCTACGGCACGTGCGTGTGCTGGTGCCATGAGGCCCATCGAATGACGTTGACGACACTGCTCCACTGCGAATCAGCTCATCATCCTATCCCGATGGACAAGGGGGGCAGCCATTCGGGTCCGCACCATAGCGCCCGTTCAAGTATGTCGCGTCGGCACATGTGAGGCTGTAGATGGATCCGTGGATCCGGAAGCTTTTGATATACGATACACGTACTCGCAATATGCTGTGCCTCATGTGTGCCCTGTTACCCCGTAGACGTGGTGTCAGCCTTCAACTGATCCAGGTGATGCTTGCCGCTGTCCAACCAAACACGTCTTGCTCAATTCAACACATACTTTCAACAAGCTGCATTAGTAAGTATATTAAAGGGAAATGTACAATAAAACACTTCCAAGGTTCAAAACAGCCATCCCTGAGAAACACCAAGCAAGTACCTCTCGCTCGCCTAATCTTGGCCAACGCAAACCAAAAACGATCAATCAAAATGGGAAAAGCGCCATCGTAACGCCTAATCCATCCATTAAGTCATCAGCCCTCCTATTGGGTCGCTGTCTGAACGCCTGGTCTGTTCCATGTTCTTACATGGCCTATAGAGTTTGTCTCGATCAGCCAATGAAACTGGTGCAGTTTATCAAGATATAAGATTTGACGTCTTACCTGACTTGCAGCTCGTGATAACGGCATCCTCGGTGAACGCTAACCAACACGCAGGGTGGGTATCAACCACGTGCGTCTGTAATGGGTGGGATTAGTTGATGTAGATCTCGTGGATGTATTTCCGAGCACTTACAAGCACAGGCGGCAGCATTGGTATCACTGCCCGAGGCTGGACGGGGTGAGCAATCACATTCTCCTCCCACTCATCTTCCGCGCCAGAACTACCCTTGCCTCCAGAGTTCACCGAGGTATTCGTGTCCGTCCTATGCGGAGCCGTGATTCTCGATGATACAGACCCTCGATGGCGAGCTGGCACCTGTAGAAAAGAAAGGGGAAAAAAGTTAGCCGCCAAACGCTTAGCATTCATCCCCTGGCACAATTATCGACTTACAGCGGTCTTTGGCCGGTGAAGCATGCCCACGCTAAAATCCCAAAGACAAAGTCGGCCATCTTCTCCAACGCTGCCAAACCGGTAGTTTCGGTCGTCG